TAGTATACTGGACTACAGGGACCTTGCCAGGCCGCCTCGACCTCAAGAGAGGGAAGATGAGGGGTGAAAGATCTGGCGGAGCATTGTGGGCATGCATTTCGCGCCACGAAAGACCACGATATATTTAGAGCATTTCCAGTATAGACCACTCCGCGATGACGCAGTGGTCTGTTTCGCGACTCCAACGCAAGGACGTGAGCAGCATAACACAAGTCGGGTGTTCGAATCCCTCGCTGGCCTGATACTTGTGGTCTATAAGAGACTTCTAGCGAGTACAATTCGTAAGGAAAGTAAGGAATAAAGGTAAGAGCACTACATGAGTAAGAAAAGGATACTACAGAGGGGTACAAGGAGAGGTACAAAAAGATGAAACATCCTTTTTCTATTATTCCTATATATCGTCGTCAGGACTGCTCAGCCCGCAACACGCCGTATAACGCCTGTGCAGGTCCGTCAGGCTGATCAGGCCTGATTGGCCTGACCAGCCCGCTCATCCCCTTTCTAAAGCTCGGGAACCCTGATCAGGCTCTGTTTCCCTGGCGGGGATGTTCAGGCATGGTTTGGCAACATCATGCAAGACCAGCCAGATGCAAGTTTTGCGACACAGGCTGGGTTTTGCGCGACGCGCCGTCGAACTTCCACAGCGGTTCAATTCTTGGTTTTACAGTGGTTCCCCGAAATGGTCAACAGGCCGTCCGCTCCGGCAACTCTTCATTGCAATATGTAGCTGAAGGGACTTATAATGTCACATAAAGTTCCGTTCTCTCCCGATATGGCGCTCTATGACACCCGAACGCAACTTCTGTCAGGCTGTTTGGAGAATTGGACACCGACATGCCATTCTATGATGGATGTTCCTTGCGCTGGCGTTGGCTCAAGGCCCACACTCCAAGCAATAACACCACCCTGACCGCTCTGAATGATTGCGGTGTGTTTTATATAGATGTTGTTTAGGACAATTCGAGAAAACATCAGACGGCACCCTACAGCACCGTGGCCATAAATATCTCTAGGCATCAGATCGCACCAGCGCACGTCGGCCAAGAACAATGAAGCTCGATAGTTTACACCTTTCTGGACATGTACCTGACAATTTACTCATTCTCTTTGTGCGAGACTGATACACAGTGCGGAAGATTTGCAAGCTATAAAGTCTTTGCCTATCTGTGGTTTATGGCACACCCTTCGTCCCCCTTTCAGTTTCCCATCCATAATATTGGTAACTTCTAACGAGTTTGCTTTTAACATGTCTACAAAAAACTTCGCCATAGATAAGAAAGTGGGCCTTTTTGCTATACATGACACTGGTGCTCCGGATGGGAGAAACGACTATAAGACTCTGGTCATTCTTCACGGTCTTGCCTGGTCGCGTGGTGAGCGTCATATCCCTAGTACCCTTGCCGAGTATCTTTCCGCGTTGAATTACTTACGGAATGACACTAGAAATATTCGCCCGTCTCTTACCAATGGCACCACAGTTCAATGCCCGTATCATCCTCGTCAATCGTAGAGATTATCCCGGATCGACACCACTCGACGACTCTGATCGAAAGAACTTGTCCTCGTTCAATTCCAGTACGGCTGAGGCAGCGCAGAATATTCGGTCATACATGCGAGATCGCGCCAGGGATGTTTACGACTTCTTATGCGAGCTAGTTGCCGCTGAGTGTATCCCGGGGGTATCAGACGGAGGTGGCATAATCATGGCTGCATGGTCATTCGGTGGAAGCTTGATTACTGCGCTGCTGGCGTACTTGAAGACGTTTGAGGTCCCTGACGTGGTCCTAGGAGAATATATTCGAAGGTTTATCTTGCTAGGTGCGTCAGCGTGATACTTCCCATATGTTTGATTATTCCGTGTTAATGCAATTCGTGAAAGAGCACTTACTAATACTGTGCTATAATTGTAGACCCGCACTACCACATTCTGGGCTTTCCTCGCTGTCCCGGTCTATTCAGTCCAATCGAGGATCCGTCTCTTTCACCAAGCGAAGGTCTGGCCAAGTTCCCCGAATGGGTATCAGGATTTTACTCCCACACATTATCTCCTTCGTTCCCGATATCTGCAGTAGAGAGCTCAACGTGGAACGCCATCTCTCTCGCCAAGCCTCCACCGACATTTCTCACCCTCTCACCCCAAGACGTCGAGGTCACAGTCTGCGCCGAGCCTGCCTTGCCGGAAGGGTCCGACGGCGTCCTTTTCGAAGCTGGGCAGCGACTTGGACTATTCGAAGAGATGAGGAAGAACGTGTTCTCCGCTGTCGCCGAAGTTGAGCTGGGTAGCTGTTCGAGGGCACTTGACTCAGTGAGGGAGAAGGCGAAGGGGTGGTGGATGGATGTTGAGATTCGCGTCATCTGGTGCGATCATTCACCGTTTTCGATGCCATGGGGCATCCAAGAGTTATACAAATACCTGGAGGACGCGAAAGCAGCAGGTATTGCGAGAGAGGGAGAAGTCAATATTGTGAGGATGAGAGGAGCGAATCATTTCGTAAGTTTATCAGTATCTCTTTCAGACGTTGATATCGGAGTGCCGAAGTTTTGATTATTCATACAGCCGCACTGGGAGGATCCTGAGCGTACATTGCGGGCGCTGTTAGCTGAAGATAACATGGTGGAGCCTTGACCAGCTACATAGAATTATTCGAGGATGGTAGTCATTCGGCGATTGGGTTTGAGCTCAAGCGCGAATAAAGATGTGTTTCGTGAGATAGTCACCCCTTTTCTTCAATAGGACGTCCACAACTTCTGTCGTGTTGAGCACTATGATCGACTGGAGTTGGGATGCACGATATCTGAGTATGGGATGTAATCATCAGTGAAGAGCATACTCAGATACTACGGCGACAGTAGAAGCCCACTGACCGCTCTTGTAAGACAGCCATGCTCTAATTCCGAGAACAGAGCAGCCGTCTGTGCTACCTGTAGTTATGGACGTCCCCAAGCCACAAGTAAGCGGTCAATGGCCGCAGGTATTACATTGTTCGGGTGAGAAGGATATAGTGAAACACTCGAGATAATTCGGTAGAAATTGCCATAGTGGTGGCCCTTTCCAGAAACCCGTCCGCCACTAAGTTACTTCCAGTATGTTGAGCAGGCCGTATCGCACGTTTGGACCTAAGCTTAAGTCTTGGGATGTAACGGTTATCGATACCTACTCATGCGATCATCGTAAACTTCATCAAGCGAAGTATGAACATTCGACGTGACATAAAGGTACTAAAACAGAGTTGCGTACAGAAACCTGTCAGGAATGGTCTGTTCGGTGCCCTTTACACAAGACGATGACCTCTAGTCTAAGCGCATCAAGACAGGCTCCTTCCCGTCCAACATCAGATCATTCGACAACGTCGCCCATTTATCCGCATCGTCCGCGTAAGCCTTGGACTGGGCACGGAAGCACTGGAGGACATCTTGTCCCAAAGGTAGGCGAAGCGGAGGATCATCGAGTTTGGCAATGGTATGATAGGTAACTTTCATTGCTGTGACATGAAAGTCAGCGGAAGTTCGTATTCGATGGACAGATAGAAAAGAGATGCCTTTCTCGGTATCTCCAGGGAGGGCAACGTTGGGAAGATATCCGCGGACATATTGAACGGTCGACTTGGGGTCGCTGTACGCTGGATGGGGTGGCGTCTGTACGAGAGATTCAGGACTGGATGCACGAGTAGCAAAACCTCCGGGCTCGACCATGGTCATCTGTAAGGGTCCAAATATTCTGTCAGATGAACAAGTCAAGACCCTAAAGCGACTGCCGCACCTTAATGTTCCATCTCGGGTCAAGTTCCTGATTTAATCGGTCATTGCGGGCGTCTCTGTCAACCGAGACCTGATATCACCTTAGAAAACGATGCCAGGCCACCTTACAAAGCTGCAACGACGAAAAGGATCATCATCACGGCTAAATTTTAGAAAACTAGACTAGACCGACCATGCTTGCTTGCAGTGTAGAATCCCAAGGCAGCACTACTGACTATGCCGAGCATGCTCGGCATGGTGATCAAACGGCCACCGATGGGACTATTAACCTCGCGGAAGAACCTAACAGCTTCACGGGCAACGTTCATGGCGCCCCAGGAGTTGGTCTCAAAAATAGAGCGGGCCATCTCGTCTGGCGTTCCCTCTACTTATCCCAGCATTGCGAAGCCTGCACTATTGAAGACGACAGCGATGCGACCGAAGGCCTCATGACTCTTGTTAAAAGCGTCCACAATATCGTTTCGCTTGGAAACATCGAGCTTCAAAACAAGCAAATGGTCGGCAGGGTACTGACTCTTGAGATGGTCGAGCATTTCAGGTTTGCGCAAGGTTGCAATTGCGATGTCGCCTTGTGATAGAACCTGTTATTATCGAGTGTGCTCATCAAATACGCTTCAACGCTCAAAGGAGGAAGACTAGCAACCAATTTTGTCATTGTGAAGCCCATCCCGGAGGATGCACCAGTTACTAAAGCAGATAATGGTTAATGACTCGAAGGAAGGGAGTGCCACAAAGCCTAACGTACGCACTGAACCATACAGCGGGCGACATGGTAGAGATGCCCTCCACTTGTTAGTTGGTTCTTAGGTCGTTTCTCAATCTGCCTCCGTTTCGCAGGCGATCATCTTTTGTGTACTGAATGGGTGGCTGTGCACAGTCCTTCCTTTTCGAGATACCAACGTGGCTTTGACAGAGTTTGACAGCCGCCGCCTGCCGCCGCCCATGCCCACCCTCCGAGACCCTCGCTGGATCCTTGCCCATCCATGCTTAAACTTGATCTGGAGGAAGACTTTGCGACGGTATCGCTATGCTCAAAGCATCTTCAAGCCGCTTTTCTATAGCTTTCTCAAGTTATACTTTTCCGCGGCTCGTTGCTCTCTCGTCTTCTGTTCTCGAGTCCTTGAACCCTCTGTCGCAATCTTGCTCCTCAGACTCTGTCTGCCAACATTCAATATCAACCTCCATCTGTATTGTGAGCTCTCTTATCTACCGGGTCAGCTACATACGGCTTCGGTGTCTTCTCTTTGCTTTATTGGGTCATCGACCAAGTGGCTCGCCTTACTCCTTGATCTCCGGGCGGCGAGTCGTGCTTCATGTGAACTTGCAATGATAAGTACTCAGTCATCACCCCCTCACGGGAGGACCTGGGAGACAGGGCCAGCCACTGTGGTACGCCCTCATCGCGCTACCAAAAAGGTGCTAAAATAGCTCTTCGTCCTGTCAAGTCCAGCATCCCGCATGTAGATGGACAAATGCGAGCTTCCGTGACTTGCTGTATGTACCCATCACAGCCCCATGTTGATGAGATATCGTCTTTTCAGTGGAAATTCCTCCATGATCTTTCTTATCGCAGAATGATCAAACATATTTTTCATCAGGAGGCGGAAAGGGATCGATGAGACGATGTCGGAGAGGATCATCGTTCCTGTGTCACCTTCGCAAACACCTCCCACGAATAATTGCATTTGGTGGGCCGGTGGCTTCGGTTCTCGATGGAAACACCAAGTCTCCGTACGTCGAGAATATGAAAGCGTGTTAGTTCCCTCTTTATCCAATGTCGGCTACAGTCTTCCAGCGAGACGTGTTTGAGCTTTGTATCAACAGCGGTTTCGAGTCGAGTGCACCGGCGAATCACTTGGCGAATATCCTTTTCAGCTTCGCTTGATCTCGTCGACATTCTTTGTACCTCATGGGGTAAATTTGGGTGGCTATAAAGGAAATACATTGCTCTCGACATTTGTGCAGCAATCTCCCTCACGATGATTTATACTAATTCGAACAAACCTACTACCCTCGTCTTTGATCTCGGAGATGTTCTCTTCTCCTGGTCTTCTCAAACCAAGACCTCTATTCCACCAAATACTCTGCAGTCAATTCTCGCCTCGGGTACATGGTGCGAATACGAATGTGGACTAATCAGCACACAGGAATGTCATACGCGTGCAGGCATTGAATTCTCCCTCGATCCCGCTGAGATCGCCTCCGCCTTCAGACAAGCTCGGGAATCACTCCAACCCGACGAGCAGCTTGTTTCACTCATCAAGGACCTTCGGGCAGCATCCGGTGGCACTCTCCAAGTGTACGCGATGTCGAACATCTCGGGCCCGGACTACGACTTCCTTCGCACCACCAAGCACGTCGACTGGTCGGTTTTCGACCGCGTCTTCACATCTGCCGCCGCACGACAACGCAAGCCAGACCTCGGCTTTTACAGACACGTCATCTCCGAAGGCGCATTCGACCTAAGTCGTGCGGTCTTCATCGACGATAAGATCGAGAACGTGCTCTCTGCACGATCTCTCGGATTCCACGGTATCGTCTTCGACAACGCCGCGAACGTTACTAGGCAGTTACTCAACCTCTGTGGGGACCCCGTCGCGCGCGGTGTTGGTTACCTTCACAGTAATGCAGGATTGCTGGAGTCGACCACGGATAGCGGAGTGGTCATCGAGGATAACTTCGCGCAACTGTTGATTTTGGAAGCTACTCGTGATCCGTGAGCGATATATCTTTATATTTCTTCAGGAGGCACTTGGTTGACCTGGACTTCCCCGCTAGATCACTTGTGAGTGCGCTTTCGAGACCAGCTCGGACGTGGAATTTCTTCCGTACTGGTACATCGTTTTTTTTTATTTCATTATTTCACACGAGCTGAACGGTTCCCATTGCTGGTAGGCAAAGGTGTCCTTACGAAGGCGAACTTCCCAAATGACCTGGATACGACTTCTCTGGGATTGACTATTCTTCCACCTTCGACCGACGTTATCCACTCAGTCTTGGACGAAATGCTCGAGTACGTGAACAACGATGGTATTGTTCAGGTCAGCTCTTCCACGACACCGTACCAAAAGTCCTGTCTCAATCATCTTGTCCTAACCATCCTACCACATCGCAGACCTATTTCGACACAACGCGCCCTCGCTTCGACGCCTGTGTCTGCGTGAACGTTCTGACCCTCTTCTACACTCACGGTCGAGGTCACGAACTCCGCTGCACGCTCGATTGGGTTCACGGTGTCCTCATCCAGCGCGCCTACATGGACGGCACACGTTATTACACCACCCCCGAATGCTTCCTCTTCTTCATGGGCCGACTCCTAACCTCATGCAAAGATCCGGAGCTGCACAAGATGCTCATGCCGGCATTCAAGGAAAGGGTTCAGGAGCGCATCGGTGCTGAAGGAGATGCGTTGGCGTTGGGCATGCGGATCCTTGCGTGTGCTGCGGCAGCCGTGAAGAACACGATCGACAGGGGGACATTGTTGTCTATGCAGTGTGTCGACGGAGGTTGGGAGACGGGATGGGTTTATAAGCTCGTCGTTTCGAAGGTTAGGATTGGGAGTCGGGGCCTGACCACTGCGATCGCGCTCGCTGCGCTTTCAGCGCCTGTGCTCCCCGCCGCTCGACCTGTCGCCGAAGTTCTTCTACTTGATGAGCAGGTGTTTGGGCAGCAACCGAAGTTCAATGGATTGCATCATTCAGAGCAGGCGCAGATTTCCCAGCTTGTTTAGAGTCTGGTGAGTGTTGAATTCCTTACGTGGTGTTCTTTTCTGACGCTTTCAGGCAGATTCGTGTATGACTTCAGAAACCACGCAGTATACGGTTGCTCGTTGTGATATCATATATTTATTGAATGTGGTTCTATTTATATTTATAGACGTCTCCTTGCTTCTCGCCCTGTGTTACTGGCACAAGAACACGCATGATACCCTAGAGAGTCGACTTCGACTCGTCTCAACTCCGAAGAGCCACAAGAGCAAGTGTGTATCCATCAAAGATCGCCAGTGCGAAGCGCCCCTCTCGTAAATTGGGCAAAGAAACTTCATGAGGGATTTACCGGCGCGCAAGACGGATAGAAAGATTGAGGCTGCCCCGAGCTATCTACTGTCTTCATTGCTCCTTGCTCGTAACCGTAGATGAAAGAAAGCAGAAGAAAGCTAACCGGATGTTGAAGTGGCGAGGATTACGTCATTTGTCGACCATTCACGCTCACGTGATCTGTGGCCTCATGGTTCGGGCGTGAAGTCGAACGAAATCGACGACAATCGGTCTTTGTCGTCTGCTTCCATCAAGCCATCCTCAAGACTTCCTCAAGACAACGGGCCACCGGCCCCTGTACATGCTCACGACTCTTTTTTCACTGTCGATATTCTCTAGACATAGTCAACCGACATCGGCCAGCGAACAAAGGTTCGCAGACTCACGACAATCATCAACGACAACGCATGTCTCCCCCGACAACCCCTCCAAGTCTCATCGCGAGTTCTCCTCTTGGCCGTGCAGCATCCCAAACACCCTCTAATGCCGGCTCTGATGAATCTGCACTCTTTGAGCTCTCTTTTGACTACGAAGTTGACCCTCAAGGCCGCATCATCCGTACCAACAAACGTCCGTCTGGCTCTAGGCACCCCCATTCACTCCATTCCAATTCCAGCTCACCGCCCACACCAGTCTCCGAATCTCAAGAAGGCTCTCCTCTGGGCAGGTTTAGCGGCGAAGGCAGAGATGGGAGGGCAACGCCAGATTTCTCGGACGGTTCGCCAATCCCACACGCTGCCAAGTCCCGTCGTGCTTCACTCTCCAGGTCAGAAAGCATGCCCGGCCCCACGACAGCGACCTCTTCCAACCTCATAGCAGATCGCCCAGAGGAGTACTCACGCCCACTGTCCACTGAGCCATCCGCATCCAACTCCCGACATTTCCAACGCGTCGCTTCAACACCACTTCCTTCCAACTTTCAATCCGGTTCCGGCATCGTTAGCGGTGCTGGTACAAGTTCGCGGATCGGGGCCTCGTCAAAGTATTCACGGCCGATGAGGGTCAGTCAAGAGCAGTATAACGAAGCCTTGAGACAAGAAGAATATCGCTGGCCGGACGAGAAAGAAAATCTCGACGACGCGGACTTCCCACATCAATATCAACACCAACCATACGAGCCACCTGCTACCATCAGCGCCCGCCGTTCTCCACCACCTCCTAGCCTGCCCGTAGCCACCAACGGACGACGTTCATCACCGCCCCGATCTGATGTCCCTGCTTACAATTACTCCCGTCCCACCGCAACCTCACAATCCCATGTCACACCAGCAGGCCCACAGCGCGCTTACCTGGCCTCCGGTTCGTCAATAACACCGGGAGGTAGTGGCGTGCGCGCCGCTGGCGCGGGCTCAACGGCGTCGAGGATGCTGAAGAAGAAGTTGACGACCGGCTTTGGAGTGAGTAGGATATCGGAGGTAGATACGCCACCGCCGTCGATGCCCATGAAAGATATGGAATACGATTATGCGGCTGAGGGGATAATGACGGATGGAGAAGCTCCTTCGCCGATGGACACAAATGGGAATGGATGGCAGAGTGATGTTGGTGGATATGCTGCGGCGGCACGAGTGGTAGGAAGGCAGAGGGCACCGAGTGCGTCAGCAGCGGTAACGGTGAATACTTCACCGAAAGGGTTGGCAGGCTCGTCGAGTGTAAGACCAAGAAGGAGTGCGAGTTTGAGCGAGGGTAATAGTGAGCGTTTTCTTTCTTCATTGTCCTCTTCTGCCCTTCTCTTTCTCTCTTTGTGGCGCTTTGTTCTTTCGGATGTGGTGCCAGAGTGTTTGTCCTGTGCTTGTCTCGGTTCGTGCTCTGCATTACCAAAGGCATTGGGCATCTCAAGTTTTGTCCGCTTCGACATGTTCCATGATCATCTTCGTTGTGTTGGCGCGTCGCATGGCATATCAAAGAGCGAGGCGGGTCGAACCTTGGTTCGGTTTGTGTCTCCGAGTTCTCCGAGCAGAGGCGTATCCTGCCTCTCGATCTCCTCAACGGGGCACAGATCTATTCATAGCACAGTGCTCTCGACGTCTGAACTAGCTCTTGTCTGGGAATGGAAATGTGACTTCCTTGTGTGGTCCCTTCGAACGAGTGTTTGTAGCACGTCGGAGTTTGAATACTTTTTCATGCTAAGACACAACCTCGACGTTTGGTCCTGCCCAGAAGCACTCTCCTTTTCTCCGCCCCTCCTCCCTCCTCTCTCGTTTCATATTCGCATTACTGATGTTTCTTTCCACTTCGCGTATGCCACGTTCACGACGAATAGACCTCGAAGAACATCACTCGACCGATGCAGCAGGACCTCCACCTCCAGCTCGAAACCCAACACGACCAGGCACCAGTCTCGGACTCGGCGCAAGTCGGGCAAGACGAGTGACCATCGAGGAAAACATGAGGATGCAGCAGCGAGAGATTGCAATGGAAGGTACGTCATGTCCACCCACCTCCAGTCTTCACGCCTGATGATTATGTACAGAGGCACAAGCCCACGCTCATGCACAAGCTCAAACCCTCGCTCACCTCCAACAACAGCAGCAGCAATCACATCAACAGCGCCGCAAATCGCCCTCTCCGACCCATCCCTCGATCGCACCAAATACCGGACCTACCGCGGCTCAAATGCGAGCACAATACGGCCACCAACGACGCGACTCTGACACTCTTCGTCAAATGCAGCAGGAGCAACTTGACGCTGCCGTCGATGGTGGCCCTGGTGGAGATGGAGGCGGGGGTGGAATCATTCCCTCACGTCTGTCGCCTTCCGGCAGGAATCTGTCGGTATCGCAGGCTGCGTTGGCCGCTTCGGCGAGGCATAGGAGAAGTCCGACTGCGCCTGAGCAGGGAACTACCAGCAATGGGATCGCTCCTGGACCAGGACAAGCACAAGGACAGCAGGCGGGCAAGACGTGGACCGCCGGCGATATGAACGGAAACGGGAAGGGGGCTGTAAATGGGAACGGACATGGGAATATGGCGGAGGACGGTAATGGGCAGATGGTGCAGGCGCAAGTTCATAGGACGCCGACGACCACCGCAACGCAGCAAGGGCAACTGAACACGGCGGCGAGGATCAAGCTTGCGAATATGAACGCTGCGAGGAATGCGGGGTCTGGTGGTGGTGGTCACGACCGAGGTAGTGGCGGTCACGATCGAGGTAGTGGTGGTGGTGAAGGTAAAATGAGCGTGCGGAACCTGGTGGTCAACAAGAGGGTGTATGCCCGACTTGACATGATCGGCAAGGGAGGTTCGTCCCGCGTTTATCGCGTCATGAACAACGCGAACGAGATTTATGCGATTAAGAGGGTTAGTTTGGATAAGACGGATGCGGAGACGATGAGCGGGTATATGAATGAGATCGCACTGTTGAAGAGGTTGGAGGGAAATTCGAGGATCATTAGGTTGGTGGATTCGGAGGTCAAAGGAACGTTGGCGGATCCGAAAGGGACTTTGATGCTGGTTATGGAGTGTGGCGAGATTGGTGAGCGTTTTGTCGTGGCGGATCCCAAGAGTTGGACAGGACTAAAGGCCCAATCTCTGCTTACAGATTTCGCAAAGTTATTGCTGGATCAACAGAAGGAGCCGATGAACATGGCTTGGATCGCCTATTACTGGCAGCAGGTTCGTTTAATCTGCACTTATATCTGTCTCTTTGCTAGATCCACGGGTTCATTCGTGTTTTGTCCTTGCTGATCCGATCGCATATGTTTTAACCACTCCCAGATGCTTCAAGCCGTCCAAGTTATTCACGACGAGAAGATCGTGCACTCTGATCTTAAGCCGGCCAACTTCGTCCTCGTCAAGGGCCAACTGAAGCTCATCGACTTCGGGATTGCGAATGCCATCGCGAACGATACGACGAATATTCAACGGGACCACACGGTGCGGTCGAGCTCTGGGGCTCCCACGTTTTACTTCCTGACTAACCGACTGCTTGTCTGTTTGCTTCGCTCCGGATACTACAGATCGGCACGGTCAACTATATGTCACCAGAAGCTATTGAATGTCAAGAAAACATGTCACGGCTCAAAGTCGGTCGCTCGTCCGACGTCTGGTCCCTCGGTTGTATCCTCTATCAGATGGTCTATGGCCACCCTCCATTCCATCATCTCGGCGTTTTGCAGAAGATGAAGGCCATCCCGGACACGAATCACGAGATTAAGTTCCCGGCCTTCTCGTATAGGGGACTGTCGAAACTCAATGCGGGTGGCGGGAGTGGCAGTGTGAATGGAGCAGAGGCGGAGGCGGCAGCAGAAGCTGGGGAAGGCGGTGCTGCTGGTGCGAATGGGTCGGACAGGCCGAGGTTGAAGGGGACGAGAGTGCGGAAGGATCTGATCGAGTGTATGAAAGGATGTCTGGTCAGAGATCCGAAGCAGAGGTCCTTGATACCGGATATGTTGGAGGACGATTGGTTGTCGCTCAAAGAAAGTATGTGACCTTTCTCATTCTCTAACTCTCATTCCTGTCCATGTCCCTGCCCGATTCCTGATCTGTCAATGTACTGATCGTCCTTCTATGGTTTGTTTTTATGTAGAGAAAGAGCCCAAAGCCAGAGAGTTACTCGAGCCGGATGAGACGATCATCAATCCGCATTATATGAAGCAATTGCTCATCCATGGCGTGAACATTGGTCTGAATGACCCAAATGCCATGGAGAATAGAGACTTCGACCTTGATGCGCAAGTGCGTAGCCCATTCAGCCGATGCCCTCCTCGATTTCTTCCCTTTGTCCTCCCGCTCTTCCTAGCCTTTCGTATCCCATTATCGGCTGTTTTCCTTTTACTTACCTAGTCGTGGTGATTCACAGCGGCTGGTCGAGGAGCTCCGCGCTCTGGCAGCGACAGAAGCAGAAACTATTGCTCTGGCAGAGGAGGAGAAGGAGATAGCGGAGGAGGCTGCAGCGGAAGCGTGGGCTTTGGCGGGGATGGCTGCAAAGAACTCCGGGCCAGGATCATGAGAGTGAAACGTATTCTCAACCAACCAGCCACCGTTGCTATCCCGGACTTGACCCCGCGACAAATGCTACTGCCTCACGGCGCTCTCCTCACCATCTATGTTTTCTCGCTGTCACTTGTGCTGCTGTCTATAGTGCTATCTGTCCTACTCTTCCATGCGGGTTTTGTGTGTATCACTATGTGTCACCTCGTTCCTCTTTCTCCTCAGTTCCATTATCCATCTGATTCATATCTGTACCTCATCCACGCAACGCATCTTGTGATCTATCATCATCTCGCATTTGGTCTCATCTATTTTCCTCTTTGGTCTTTTCTTTTCTTCGTCTCCTTCGTGTCTATAGGCATTTTGTTCTCCGGCTGTACATAGTTATTCATTTTCTTAACCATTCCGTAGTCACTCTCGTCTTAATCTTCGCATTCCTCAATCTCTCTTGATCTCATCCCGCATCGAACGTCCAGCACTGTGCTCTTATACATCATTCTTCCACTAGTCTCTGTATATGCATACACAACCGCCGTCCTTCCACTCGATGGATCTGGACCCTTCTCTCTCTTGTCTCGTATCCCCCGTCTTCCTCCCGCATCATGGCCAAAAACAAGAGGTTCCACATGCCTTCCATGTCACCTTCTCTGGCATCTTCACCACGCTCCGTTTTTCACCTCTCGTCTTATTTCCTTTCACGCATCTCACGGTATTCTTCTATGATTGGACATGTCTTTTACGTAGTTTCACTCTTTGTCTCGTCACCAAGATCGTGGGCATTCTTCGCGTCTCAATCGCGATGTACATATGACCCTTTTTCACGATACTTACGCGGTGGTTACGAGCAGGACTAGTGTAGGCAAGACGTGACGTGGCATGAATCCTCAGTTCTTATCTAGACTGAACAATGTAACTTATCCTACAATCGAGCTTGCTTTCGACTGCATTCGCATCCAGCCTAATCTGACAAAAGTTCCGAAACCATCCACCAGCCAAATCTCCTCTTCGTGCCGAATATACCAGAATATACCACGTTCAAAATATCGGCTCGTACCAAACCCAGGCCTTGATCCCAACGCCCCTTACCTTATTCTCCCATCCAGGATACTGTGCATATGCCCTGACGGCCAATACATCTCCGGGCCTCGCTACCTCAGCTACAGTACACATGCTACGGCCTTCTGCCGTAACGCTAGACGTCGAGTCGTAAAAGTGCACGAGACTGAAGTTGTTGCCGGAGGTGTGGAGTGTGGGCGTACGGCCAGCATTGACGGGGTGGGTGTGGGCGCGAATGGATAGTTTGGCGTCGTATAAGAGTTTGTGATCGTTGATGATAACATCGCGTACGGAGGTGCGAGTAGGGAGGTCTGAGATATTGGAAGCGGGTGGGTTTGTAGATGAGGTGGGTGTGGGTGTGGGTGATGAGTTCGTGGGGAAAGAGTCGCTGCATGGACTCAGGGGAGATGCAGGCCGAGAGGACGATGGGGGACTGGCGATAACGAGGCCGAACCAGGACCAAGAGCCCTGGTCTGGTAAGCTGACGTAGCCTTGGTGCGTCCTGCAGAAACACGGACGAGAACGTGTCAGTCGGATCTCCATCATTTGACAACATCATAATTTAGGCTTGTAGAGATTCATATACTCACGAGTTTGTTACTATTGGCAGATTACGTCCATATAGGGGATCAGAACTGTACGTTAAACTATGAGCGAGATGTGGAGACAGCTCACTGATTCTCAATGCGCATAAGGTCTTCAGATCGACGCTTGTTAACGGCTTCGACACCGCGATATCAACCATAGCACACGACCCTTCTGACCGTACATCATGGCTCTTTTCCTGAAACGGAATCAAGTCCTCAGAGCGAGGCCTGTGGAATCCTGCGTAGCGGAATATGATGACGACGAGTTCGTATGGGATCCCAGGACGTGAGGAAGTGAGTGGGATGACTTCATTGTCTAGACCGCCGGGGAGAGAAGAGAATGGAGTGTCTGAGTCTGAGTCTGAGCCGTCCTCGAAGTTTCGATATGGATGTTCAGGTGTAGGTCTGTATCCTCTTTGGAGCGAGCGAGAAAGGGCTTCCAAGAATATAGGATGGGGGATACGTTTTAATCCCGTATTGCAGGTTCTAAGGAAATCCTGTTGTTCAGAGCCAAGGACCCAGCGACTGAGTGCATCGACGATAGACAACATGAATAAATTGGAGGAAGACGAGAACGTTGTGGGGGTCGTGGTGGTTGCGGACGTGGGTCTGACAATTGAAGTTGAACACGATACATCCTGAATGTGGCGTTGCCCCCGCCACAAACACGTTACACGGCTTATTTGACTTTGTGTGGTCCATGTGGCAGAGGGATTTGTGTCATCGACATCACTGGTACTGCTCTCTACTGCTACCACCATCCACTTCATTGTGTCAGCGCAACTTTGCAGCGCTAATGACATGGTTCAGTCATCTCGACCAGGGGCCCCCGGATGGAACCACTCCCGCTCGGATTTTTCGAACGTATACTTACCTGCTGAGATACTTATTCTTGTAGCTGAAAAAGCCGAGCAATCCAAAACTCGCGCTTGCATCTGTGCAGTCAACAAATTTTGTTACTCTACGTGTACTACTGCTCTGTACAGTGGCCAAATCTCCATTTATGGCGATCGGACAGCCGAACGACTATTCCGCACGTTAATCCAACTTCGACCTGACATGGCCACCATGGTCAAAAATCTTCATATCGCAGTACGTGTAAAGTGAGCCTCGTCTCAAAGCAACCATCGGCGTCCATCAGAACTGACTTACTTCTTTCTTGAGATATGTCAGGGCCGGAATTATCTTCCAGGACAAAGTCGTGATACGTCGCCTCCGCTCGATTCTGCGAGCACCCATCTGCACACCCTTTTCGTCGACTCCACCTCCGACCTTTCCGTCCAATTCGATACACTCTTCGCTGCTGGTGGCTCAAGTGGCGCCGATGTGCCAGAGGATACATCCGGACCCTTGTCATTCCCTTTGTTGCGTAATCTCCGACTTTGGCTTAACTTCGGTCTCGACGAGTCGGTCCTTGACTTCCTCAAATCACACAATAGGGCCCTCCGTTGCCTCCGTCTCTATTCCGAACGTTACAGGAAAGAACAGCTCGCCTTTGAGTCTGATATGGCCAAGAACTATACCATCCCTCCCCTGATACTTTGCACGTACACCGAATGCTCTCCTTTCCTGGTATCCGCACTCGTCCCCGGCTCACAAATCGAACACGTGAAGCTGTATTGGCCGATCGTTGGCAAAGTCGATAAGGTCGCACACGAAGTCGTACAGTCTCTGGCTCACTCACAAAGACAAGTAAAGACAGTCGTATACTCTTCCTGCTCGTGGAATATCGACTTCATGCGAGGGGCAGCGCATCATCTCCCCTCCCTCCAATTGCTCTACATCAAGAATGTAGATGGTGATCGAGATATGCCGAAGGACTCCCAGGATCGCAGCATCGCAAGCACTCAATCTTGATGCCCTCCTCACGGCGAGTGGAGACTTGTCGTTATATCGTTGATACAGGTCAACACTGCGCTAAACATTTTCTGTCATAGGTCACTCTCTTGGAAGTGATACCGGAGATTCTTCGTAGCTTCAGTCATCTCAAAGTGCTCATCCTACGGTGGAATTGTCCTAAGGACGTACAGGACAGTGGTCGCAAGTTTCTGGATGACTTCGAAACTGTGCGAGAATGGGCAAAACTTTGCCCGTCTCTTCTCTACGTGATCTTTCCGTACAGTAAGTCCTATGCGCACTGCCCTTCTTGTTTTTGTCGTGTACATCTTGAGACACCTTGTAAGGCTCACGTTTTCTTGCCTTACCTTTCAGCAATGACACGCTGGATCCGCTTCCCAAACCCAGAATATGACTTCTTCGTTCCTGACACCAACTTCAGATACTATAGGAATCATGAGTATTCATACGGGACTCGTGATTCGGGCTCAGACACGGATTCGGATGCGGACTCAGATTCGGATGTTGATTCGGATGAGGACACAACGGACGCACGATGGATGCGCGAGGTTTTTCAGCGAGGACCAGAGGGCGAAAGGCTCATGTCTTCATACTTTAGGCAGGTCAGGGATTTTGACAGGCTTAACGGACAAGGTGAGGATGTCGTTAGCAGTGTGAGCGGGCTGTTAGACAGTGCGAACATCAGTCTGGTTCATCGGAAGAAGTGATCCGGCATTGTGGATGAACTGGAGAGTGATTTGATTGACGTTTGTAGCACTGTACTTCTTCTGTCAGATGTGATTATGCATGTTCCACGTTATCGAAGTCTATCTACTATGTACTCATCCCAATTTTTTCCCAACCAAGTAGCACCATCACTCGATCCATTGGCCCAGGGTCGCTAAAGCCTCCTCATCGACGAAGTTCCACACGGAAATAGCTTGAAAGAACTTCTGCCACCTCCCACCATCCACGCTCATCAGTTCCTTCCACTCATCATTATCCTCGCCCCACATCCTACGAATCATCAACAGCCAACTGCCCATCACTACGTCACCCCAGCTCAACGTCTCGCCCATCACAAACTGGCCTGACTCGTTCACGCCCAGCCAGTCCCCAACCTGTTTGAACCCCGCCAACGCCTTCTTCCACACTACAGGTCTCGCTTCTGGAGGCAACAAGTCCTCTATCTTCTTTCCAAACCTCTCCTCCCTCGAACGTCTCCAATAGTCTCGGCTTTTCTCTGTCGCTCCCGAACGTGCGATATCCACGGCCAACAGCGGAAACAAATTCGCGATGATCTTTTCCGTCCACATCTCCTCAAACGCCACCTGCAAAGCTGTGGTTCCAGCCGGAGCAAACACTATATCTTTCGCGACTGGGACCGACGCGTTGGTATACGAGGGGTAAGTCTTGTCAAGGTACCTCGCGATGTTGAACGATTCGGAGACTGTGGCGTTGGTGGCGGGATCATATATGACGGGGAAGGTGTAGACTTTCTTCTTCCTGCCGTCAATGGGATCGTGAGAGGTGGGTGGGGCACCGATAGACTCGCAATGAGACGGGATATCTGCGAAGTCGACCCAGACCGTGCGATAGGGGATGCCTTTCATGTTGAGAGCCAGTCTGGGCGACGGTTGAAGGGCGAATGACATCGATTAGATACTTCACGGTGAGATACTCTCTACAGCGTGAAGATTGTAAGGGGCGGGAAAGCTCACCTCGCCTTCCATACATTTGGAGACCATGCACCGTCTGGGAATTTCCCGGGGAAATCGTAGAGGATGATCTTTTTGTCTGAAGTAGCCATTGCAGGGAATGTCAAGGGAACGGACGGGGAAATCTCTGGAGTTCGCATATTCTTGGCCTTCCGTCTTCTTATATAGTCCCTTTGTAGCGATGACAGAGTGAATCCACCTGCGGTCCGAGTCGGAAACAACGTTTCTCGCAGTCCGGGATCTCTATATCAAGTCTCAAGAAAAGTATTTTCGATGCAGGTACCACCACCTTCGTAAAAGTGACACTGGGAGGACATCCGTGCACTCGACAGTGCACAACGAAAATCTCAAAGGACGTCGAGGAAATTTCAGCACGAAAGGAGGGCTCTGAAGCAGTGGTTACGACAAAGCTGCAGTGCTGACTGAGATATTGGTGTGCTGGTGTTCGTAGTCTCGTGCTCGCACCTTCCTAAGCGCAAGCGTGATCGTGCACTGTGCAGTTGACTCAGCTACGAGTCCGAAATTCCTGCCCGGTTCATTCCGAAGTAAGCGAAACCATGGATACGAATATTCAAAACAAAAAATTTCAGGCCTCAAGATCGAATACCGAACTACTCAGCCACAAACTCCGCGGATAGCGTTGTCTCGTTCCTAGTAGATAGGTTCTCAGGTCAACAGTAGCTGGACGCGCACACGGGACCGAAAAAAATGGGCATACCACGTGTAAGTATACCGTCGAGAACGGAGAACCTAGTAGCGGTCACAGTTCTTGCGTGCTATCTTCAGCTAAGAGAGCGCGCAAAGCTCGCTGAGGGTCCTCCCAATGCGGCTGTCCGTTTCAACGAGAATCAGAACAGCACCCATGTACACAGAACTTGAGATAATGACTGCGACGTACGAAATGGTTCGCCCCCTTCATCCTCACGATCTTTACCTCTCCAGCCCTCGCACGACCTTCCGCCTTCGCATCCTCCAGCTCCTTATACAAAGCCTGAATGCCCCACGGAAACACCCACGGCGATTGATCACACCAGATCACTCGAACCTCGAGTTTCTGCCACCACCTGATTTCCTTCTCCTCTAGCGCTTCGTTACCTACCAGATACCCCTTCGTACGATCGGGAGCCGCAGAGTAAAGCGCTTCCTTTCTCAACTCCTCAAATAGTCCTAGTCGGTGCCCAGCTTCGAAGAGAATTCCATCCGATCCTTCGGGTAAGGCCGGTCCAACAGAGATCACGTCCTCTATCTCCTTGGCAGATAAGGTGCTAAATGTAGCGGGAGGATCGGAGAGCGCGGTTGTGCTATATTCAAGGTCGGGGTTGGCTGATGGAGATGAAAGAAATGCAGGAGGAATAGAGTGGGAGTAAAAGGCTGAGACCCATTCGGGGAACTTAGATAACCCTTCACCTGGCGAAAGAGAAGGATCGTCGACGGGAGTATGTAGTCCTGGGCAGTGCGGGAAGCCAAACACATAGTAGGGTGGATCTGGACGCAAAGAAAATAAGAAAATACATCAAAGAAACGGTGTATCGGAGACTCTACAAAAGATCTTGCCTACCTAGTAAGATAAACTTTCGGATGTGTGTCCCGAGGACCATAGCGTCTGCCTCAAACGTCTCCAGATGCGCGAGTAGCGCTGTAATCCAGACTCCTCCAAATGACCATCCAACCAATATTATACCGCTATCCTTTGAAGCCCTCGGGAGAGACCTTGTGGTGGCCAATTCACAAAGGAAGTCGTGCAACTCCCGAGCCTGACCTTTCATGTATTGTCGAATATTCTGAGCAGCTTGTGTCGAACTTGAGCCACAAGAAGCTAGTAGTTCTCGATCGGCCTCGCTCAACGATGCCGATCCAGGATAGTCGCGTCGACTGACGAGAATAAGACGAGTGTTGAAGTTGGGGGCGATGGGGAAAATGCGGGCGAATGTCCCTGTGAAAAATTTCATCGATCGTTGTAAGTCAAATTATAATCGCGTAAAGGATTGTTGACACTCACCACTAGTCCACGCGAACCCGTGAATAACGACCAAGGTTTTATACTTGTCGCTTCCGCTCGGAGCTCCCGAATCTCGTATAAAGAAGGGGCCCACTTTGCTCCCCTCGGTAAGGTTGTCTGAAGGCATGGTTTTCCAGCTCGAATTCGTGGTGGAGGCCAGCTGAAAGGAGAGACCCGCAAAAAGAGTCAAGTCACAAGACAAATCCTGGAGCGTAGAAGCGCGAAAGTCTCAAGGTTATATAGAGCAGGCGCTTACTCTGTACGATAGGCGCAAGCTTCAGTATCAGTCGAAAAATAACGGGACACAACTGACTAGCGTTCTTCAGGAGGGCGTTTGGTGGAACCTTGTATGGCACAATATTAGCACAGGCTCTCCTGTGGAGGGTTTTGAAACAGCATCATGTCAGTGAACCGCAAGTAACCAATGTTCGTTCCTTGAACTAAGAGGCACGATGTCCACTTGTATCGCACTATAGCCTTAATCACTAGAGTCACTCCACGGTGCGGAAATGGTATCATTATGTCGTCGGAGCACGGGAGTCAAAGACTCTGTGTAGGGTGATGCGACCTACATAACATAATTGACCTTCCCCATATACCACGATGGTGGCGCTTTCATTCTGGGTGGAGGCTCAGATATGGAGGGCCCGGATGAACGGGTGCTAACTTAAAACTTTGGCTTCGCTAAGCCTTGACCAACTTCTGAAGCTCCGAGTCCAGCGAAAGAAATAAAAGCTACAGCGGCATACAAGTGGTGGAATAACATGAATGTAAAACAGGAAGCCTGAGTTTATGAGAGCCCATATGGTGAACAAGAGAGTTGAACCCGTCGGGGAGGTGGACGACGCCCTCTGAGCCTGTCACAATTTTATTCACAGCGCGTTCAGCTCACGTGGTTATGTTTATTCCCACGACCGGCAACGCACGGACTTTCCACCCGCCACCCAAACTTCTTCCACGTCACCACAACTCCTGTGAATCTGAAAATCCTACTTTCGCGATATCCTTTTTTGTGCCTTGCCTTTTTTTCCTGAGGTTCTTAAATTTGATTCTTCCATCATGGTTTTACTTATTGATGTGGATCATATAGACTGCTATGTATGCTCCAAGGAAAACCCTCCAGAGCCTGGGGCCCTCAACAAGCCCCCTTCCGCCTGGCTTCTTTGGCCGCATTCCTGCAGAAATCATCGCTCTTATAACGGAGCAAGCAGACGATACCACCCACTCAGAAACCCGCGCTTCGCTCTGTTCCGTCAATAAATTATTTAATGCGACATGTACGGCCGCTTTGTATGGCAGCCAGATCTACATTCGCGACGACACTGCGCTGCGGCAACTGTTCAGGACCTTATTCGATCTTCGACCGGATCTCGTCCTCAAGGTGAACAATCTGCAAATCAAAGGGCAGGCTACAGGACAATATACGTGAGTCGTGTCATTAGCATGAGTTGTACTCGACTGTAAGCTGAGGTGTTTTAGTTTTGGTGGACTTTCAATCAAGAACAGAGAAGTATTGCGTCACCTTCGGTCTATACTTCGAGCATGTACCAATCTACACACCCTGTCCATTGTGGCATCCGATGATAGTCCCGCTTCCATCCTGTTGAACTCCCTGTTTGCTGAGTCGGACGAGGCTGATACACGAACATCAGAGTCGGGTGCTATAGCGGCCAAGCACCCAATCTTCCCCTTCCTGCGCGACCTTGAACTTCATTTCAGACTCGATCGGCCCATCTTCGATTTCCTCATGTTACACCATGCTGCACTCCACGTCCTCCGCGTTCATGATTCACAGCGGTTCCCATGGGATGCCCGCGCCCTTGGACTGCAGATATCCAATGAGTACTCTTTAGCTCCTTCTGCTGCCAGCTCGCATATCGAATGCTCCGCTTTCCTCGTACCTGCATTCGCGCCTGATTCACATATCGAGCACGCGACCATGGAATGGCAGGCTCGTGACGGAGATGTCGATGTCGTCGCGGAAGACATTGTCCAATCTCTCGCGCGCTCGCGGAGACCAATCAAGACAGTCGTTTATACTTCTCAGTCGTGGAATATCAAGTTCATGCGAGCTGCAGCGACGCGCCTCCCTTCTCTGGAGTTCCTTTATATGAGGAACACGGGCGATGACCTTCTCCGTGGGGTGCGAGGCTCTCAGGACGACTTCATCGTGAGTGTCTACAATACTTCTTTTAGTCGTCGAGTTTGTCAAGTTCAAGTTATAGCCCGCAAGCTTGTCGTCTGTTTACTTCGTCAACGACAAGTTCATCCAGCTGATACTTTTCATGGCAGGCCCCAGTTTTACGCATCATACCCGAGATTCTTCCCATGATGAACAAGCTAAGAGTCCTCATCTTATGGTGGACCACGTATCCGGTTGGTACCAGTCGAACTTTTCTAAATGACTTTGACACGGTTCGCGAATGGGCGAAACTATGTCCCTCGCTTCTCTATGTTGTCTTCCCTCTCAGTAAGTCCCGTCTACACCGTCGCAGCTCTCGCTTCCCGTTGTCAAACTTCCTCGAGACTAGTATGGTTGACGCCATTTCACGTTTGTCTGTTGGACTACAGCTAGGACGCGGTGGATTCGCATTCCTAAAGCAGAATATGACTTCTTTGTCCCCGACACCATCTTTAGCTGCACCGGCACAATCATTCGCGACTACAACTCTGACGATTTCATCGTAGACCCAAGAAGGATACGCAATGAAAATATCGCGCAATGGATGCACGATGTCTTCGAGCTCGAGCCGGATGGCGAAAGGATCATGTCAGCCTATTTTAGGCAGTTTAGGGACATGAGAAAGTCGGAGGAGGGAAAGGGTGTCGTGAGGAGCGTGAAGGAGTTATTAGAAAGAGCAAGGGTTGATCTAATTGGATGGGAAGAGGAATAGGGCAGTGCTATATGACCGCTCGACTCGAGCTCGAATAACATCTTATTTCCTGGGTACCCTCGAGAGCCTTCGAAAGAGGAGATGCCTTGAGCATGTTTATGTCTTTTGCTATGAGAAGGTTGTAAACCTCGAATTTGTGGAAAATCTTGAGTGACGGTAGTCAGCAACGGGTCCGATAAGTAGGTGCCACTGTGGCCCACTGCGGGAAACTGTTGATTCACATGTCAGCATCAGAATCAGACGGACCGGGACCTTGTTGAAGACGACCATGACCTTCAGAGGCTGTTCAGCACTACTCTCTCTCGACTCGACCATATACTCTGTACCCCTCAGGTTTTGCTTCGCCATAATATAGTCATCACTCGACGCCCAGATACTCTACAGGCTTTCAACAGTGAAGTATGATTGAAACGCGTCTTACGAAGTTGCTAGGGATTCGGATGTATGTATGTTCAATCAGCGTTATTTGGTGCGATAAATGACTCTGTACTGGCTGCTTATGACGGAGAATAGACCTATCGTGCAAGGAGGAATGCAATGGTGAGGAATGTTTCCTCTGTATATGTTACATGAACTACGAGACGATGTGCTACCTTTCTCTATAGGGTCGGCTTGCCTCCCCTTGCTGGAGCAGTATCGAATGCCGGAGGTCTGGGTAGGTCTTTTCATGATACGACACTCCTACTCAACGCTTTTGCGATTCCAGTGACCTGACTTTAAGTTTGCCAGGTATTCTAACTGCGCTCACTCAACCGTCCCCCGCCGCTCTCCGCGACGCCATCAAAGAGACACGGAAAATCACGAGCAAACCCTTCGGCGTCAACATCACTCTATTGCCGAGTATCAATCCACCGGACTATGAAGGGTATGCAAGAGCGGCTGTGGAAGAAGGCGTAAGGATATTCGAGACGGCGGGAAATAACCGTACGTGGCCAGTCCTCCAATAGTTTGTAGTGGACCTGATGGAGGTGTGCTTCAATATTTGGATAGCTGGACCCTTGATCAAATACTTCAAATCACAAGGATGCATCGTCATTCACAAGTGTACAACTATTAGGCATGCGAAGGTACGTTCCTAACCCTTCTGTCAGTCCACTGGTCTCTGGAGTAACGTGTTTTATTTTGCTGATAGTCCGCGGAACGCATGGGCGTGGACGTTCTTAGCATTGATGGGTTCGAATGTGCGCAACGACCGTTCACGGTTGGCAGCTATTATCATTATGTACACTGATTCTACACGTTGTCTACGTAGGCGCCGGTCACCCCGGGGAAGAAGACATCGGCGGCCTGATCCTAGTGAGCCCTTCCTTGACTCCTACACAGAATACACAGCAAACGTGAATTTGGCGAGACCGCTGACTGGAGGTTATCGACAGCTTGCACGAGCGTCACACGAACTGAAGATTCCTTATATCGCCTCTGGTGGAATCGCGGATGGTCGTGGGCTCGCAGGCGCGCTGGCATTAGGAGCATCGGTGAGTTCTTTCAGACTATTAGCGGTCCTGCACATTCGAACTCTGATTCATGTTTGTTCGTCAAGGGTGTGAACATGGGTCAGTGTGGTACCTGCTCTCGATCCGACCAATTAACTTGACTTACCGCTTGAATTGATATTAAAGGAACGCGCTTCATGTGCACCGTAGAGAGGTAAGGGTCTCTTTCCCTATTGCTCCTTGCAGCCAGTGTCTCAAGGAGTTACGCCACACAGCACCATACACCATAATATCAAGGAGAGGATCGTCGCTTCCACTGAGAAAGACACTGTACACATCTTCCGTACCCTTCATAACACCGCTCGCGTTTTCAAGAACAAGGTATCAGAAGAGGTCGTCGCGCTTGAACGGAGGCCCGGCGGGGCCAAGTTCGAGGACCTTCGGGAGCTGGTCTCGGGTGCTCGAGGACGCCAGGTGTATGAGAAGGGCGATCCAGATCTCGGGATTTGGAGCGCGGGCATCACAATGGGTCTCATTAATGATATTCCGACCTGCGAGGAGCTTTTGGTGAGGATGGAGAGGGAGGCGGAGGAGATCATCGAAGGTTTGGGGAATTTGAAGATCTCCAAGGAGAAGGCAAAGCTGTAGGTTTGTATTCGGAAGATAGGACTCTGACCGTCATCATGTAATTTTCCTATTCCTTTCTATATCATGAGTTGCGCCCAAGCATCAACGACCTTATTTGCGAGACTGCGCTGGACTGAGGAACGCGACGTAAGTCCATACTCATGGGCGTAGCGACTCAAGGTGCGTACTCTCTTTCCTTTTTGCGCGAACTTCTTTCTGACAGTGAACCTTTTCAGTCGCCATTCTGCTCCGTGCCCTGCGTCACAATACCTGATGGAATGCTGAAACCGCGGTCGGCGTTTCAGAATACCGTGCAATTCCTTAAAGGCCACCTCGTTGTGATGGCTCATGCGCACTCTAGCCAACCATATATAACCACGGCGGACGGATTTCATTGCTAGTCCAAAACCTCTTTTGGGCTCTCGCTACTAATTCCATCGATGTCAGCCCAGAATCTCCCCCATATTCAGGGCTCAATCCTGACTCCCTTATCCGAGGGGTTCGAACTAGCCAACGATCGAAACTCGCTGCTCTCCGTCCTTAGACCAGCTTACATCTTCCAGCCCAGCGCCTACAGCGACATCCCTCCCATCCTCCACTTTGCCTCTTCCCACTCCCCGAAGCTCGAAGTCGTCGTCAAATCCGGTGGCTGCCATTCGTCGACTTGGGCCAGCACAGACCAAGGCATCGTGATCGATCTCTCTCGGCTCACCAGCGTTAGACTCTCCGAAGATAAGCAGACCATAGTCGTCCAAGGTGGCGCGAATTGGGGACACGTCTACGAGGTGGCGAGCAAGGCGAACGTCGATGTCGTGGGAGCGCCGTGGTGGTTCGTTGGCGTCGGAGGTTCGTTGGTCGGAGGTGCTCAGGGGCATATAACCCCGCAGTATGGACAGGGTATCGATAATATGGTTGGTGCGACGGTTGTACTTGCGGATGGACGCATTGTCACGACCAGTGAGACCGAGGAGCCAGACTTGTTTTGGGCTATCCGCGGTATGTTCCCCTTGGAGCACGAAGGAACGTGATTGATAATTGTTATTGTTTCAGGTGGAGGAAATCAATTCGGGGTCGTGGTGGAGTTCGTGTTGAAAACTCACCCGTGCCCTGGTCCCGCTACTGTGGGTTTACTGGCCTATCAGGAGAACGCCTTCCCGGAGGTCCTTCGTGTGGTTCAGGTGAGCGCTCTGTACGCTAAACGAAGGTTACGAACTAAGTTTGAACGCATGCAGGAGCTCTCTAGGCCGAATGCAGTCCTCGAGAAAGTTGTAATGATGTTCACGAGGTTCCCCCCTGCCTTCAAGGTTAGGACACATGGCATTTTAGGCCCCTTGTTTCTCTCTCATACACTCACACCGCCTCTCGTCTTCTAGCCTACCGTCGTGATCCTTCCCTGGATCTCCGCCGCTAACTCTCGGTCTGGCGATGACTTCCTGCGGCCCTTCCGCGTGCTGCCAACCCCACCTTTCCTTGACAAAGTTAGCCCCGCAGACGCCCTACAAGCATCTCATGCCACGGATGCTACCCGTGAAACCGCGCCGCGACGGCTTAATATTCGTGGCGGCGCATGTGCTGAGCTTTCCACTGAGTTGGTGACGAGCGTGTGGAACCGATGGGTGAAGTTCACGGAGGAGACTCAGGATGCACGGGCGACCGCCATTATCTTCGATGGACACAAGATGGGCAATGCTGCCAAAGTTGGGAAAGAGGAGACCGCGTATGCGCTGAGAGAACCATTCTTTTCGGTTGCGATTCAAGGGCGGTGAGTATCATCTGATGTGATTATCCTTTTCGCGAGACATTCACTGACAACCTGAATCAGAAATACTCAGCCGTCGACGGATGCGGCCACTGCGGCTTTTGTCAAAGAGATTGCGGACTACATCCATCACGAGAATCGCGCGCTTGGTATTCAGTTGAATATGGCTCGGGGCGACGAATGTGCAGAAGATGTCTTCGATGTCAATCTTCCGAGGCTCAGGAAGTTGAAGGCGAAGTACGATCCGAAGGGTGTGTGGGCTAGGGGGTTCAGGATCGAACCGGATTTCTCGGGGACATGATACTTTAATATTGAGAATAGAATGAGGTTCGTTGTCACATGCTTTATAAAGGCTAAAGAGCCGCCCAAGCTGCAATGCCCTCCTCATCCACATATGCCCATCGTTCGATAACCTCGAAGAACTTCTTCCACCGCCCCCCGTCCACACCCATCAGCTCCTTCCACTCCCTGTTATTTTCTCCCCACAGTATCCGGATCGCCAAAAGCCATACTCCAAGCTGAATATCTCCCCAACTTAACTTGTCGCCCATCAGGAATTGCCTACCACCGTCCATATCCAACCAATCTCCAACCTGCTTGAAACCCTCCATGCCTTTCTTCCACATTGCTGGCCTCTGTTCTGCCGGAACCAAATCCTCCACCGGCTTCCCGAAATTCTCCTCCCTCGTCCTGCACCACCAATCGTAACTCTTGTTCGTGATTTGTTTCTTGATATCGAGGATCATCAAGGGCATGATATTCCCCGCTATCTTCTCCGCAAGCACGTCCTGAAATGCAGCTTGCAGTGCTTGTGTCCCAGCGGGAATGAGGGTGACGTTGGAGGAAGGGTACGTCTTGTCGAGATAGAGAGCGATGTTGTAGGAGTCGGAAACGATAGCACCGGTGGCGGGATCCTGGATGACAGGGAACGTGTAAAGCGGCGTTTTGGACCCATCGACGGGGTTGACTTCGTAGGCGGTTGGCTTGGCGCCGATGGAGATGCAATGAGATTTGATGTCGCAGCATTCGACCCAGACGGTGCGGTAGGGTATGCCTTTCACGTTCAACGCCATTCTGACCATAATTTCAGGATCAATAATGACCAGTCGCGAATGAAGCCGTGCAGGCCACCAGAAAGAAGAAATGTTCGTACCTAATCTTCCAGGTGTGTGGAGACATCGCTCCGTTCCGCACTTTGGTAGGGAAGTCGTAGAGGATAATTTCCTTTGCAGAGCTGGTCATTATTATGATAGCGGGAGGGGATATTATTCGAATATTTCGAATGTCCAAGGTGAGTGACGACCATTTCGTCTTATAACCTGCGTGTCAATAGGTAAATTCTTACTCAGCATCTTTCATCTTAGTCATTCTAGGGATGGACACATTTTCCATTTCATCTTAGTCATTCTAGGGATAGACACGCTTTCCACAATGCCTCAATACAGGGATTTATTGCTTTTATGGATCTCGTGCAAACGTAGACTGGTGGATGGGAACAGATCATGGAGCTGGACGCCTTACCTTCATTCACACACGCCTCTAGAAACCCAACACGCACCAACATTCGTGTCTCAATACCACACGAGACCCGCCTCCCGCATTGATCCGTCTTCTCTGCCGTTCCAGTTGTCCAACAGGGAACAAGCATGTTTGTGGCAGGTTTTATCCGTTGGGGAGCCTCTCGTGCCATTGTCTGCACGGATCAATGGCAGGTAATGACGGAGCTCGAGCTGCGGGAAAGTCTGCTTGTTTTGGTTCGCTATCTGAAAAGGAGTTGAGAAATTAACCATATTTACTCAAATGCGAAGTCCTCTAAGGGCGCGCCTTAGTGTCTTCTTGCTCGATCCGTGCCGGACACGCAAAAACAATTAGTCATAAATATACCAGAAAGCAGACTACTCGGTCTCGAGCCACTCTTTCAAACTAGCTTCGCCGTCCTCATCAACATAGTTCCACGTCGCAATGACTTCGTAAAACCTTTTCCATCTTCCTCCTTCAAAACTCATCAGCTCTTGCCACTCTTTACTCCTTTCTCCCCACATCCTCCTCATCATCAATAGCCACGACCCTATGATTATATCGGCCCAACTCAACTTATCTCCCATAACGAACTGCCCCTCACCACCGTTCTCATCCAACCACACTCCGACCTGCGTGAAGCCCTCTAGCGCCTTCTTCCACATCACAGGTCTCGCCTCAGGAGGACACATCTCTTCCAGCTTCACTCCAAAACGCGCCTCCCTCTTCTCTCTGAAATCTTCCCGCGCTCGTGCCGTGGCTGATGAGTTGGCAATATCAACGACCAGCATCGGGAACACGTTCATGACGATCTTCGCCATCCATATATCCTCAAATACCATCTGCAACGCCGCCGTCCCCGCGGGAGCAAACTTCAAATCCCTTGACAATTGGAATCCACTCTTCGCGACTAAGGAGCTGACGTGCGAGGGGTACGTGTTATCGAGATACCTCGCGATCTTGAATGAATCGGAGACTAGGGCACCGGTGGCGGGGTCGTGGATAACGGGGAATGTGTATTTTGGAGTCTTTGTGCCGTCGACTGGGTTGATGGAATAAGAAGTGGGTTCGGCACCGATGGAAATGCAGTGAGAAGCGATGTCGGGGGAATCGACCCAGACCGTGCGGTAGGAAATGCCCTTCATGTTCAGGGCGAGCCTGTCGAGATCATGGAGGTGGTAGAGTACACAATAGATAAGCTGTGGAAAGATATCTTCCACCGATCACTAACTCACCTAGCCTTCCATGTACTCGGCGAGAATGCTCCTCCAGGGTTCCTTCCTGGGAAGTCGTAAAGGATGATTTTGTCGTTGGAGGTGTTAGGGGCCATAGCGTACTATGTACGGGTGGGATACCTTCCAAAGTTCGCCTTCTTATACTTGACCATGCGCATCAACGGCTATCACCTGGGATATCGATTCTTCTTTGTGCGTCATATGTATGAGCATGATCGGGTGTCCCTAAGCTGAAAGCCTGTCTTTGATGGTTCCTGCGATCTTATTGTTGCGTAGCAGCATCAGTGTCGGCTGTTCCGTGTACGTTCATGACATCGTGCCGTTTTAGGTATGTGAAAGGCTCGAAAGAACTTCTCCAACCCAAACTCGTTGCGAGACTGACTCCGCTGGGAAGAAAACAAGTCAGCAGCACGTCCGTCTTTCTCAGCGCAGCGGTGTGTAATCGAGCTTGAATCGAACTTTCTTGCCTTTGCTTAGGAAGCACTTGGAATCCACCAACTGGAACGTACGATTCATGGCTGAGACCAGAACTCTCGAGCTTACGGATCATGCGCACAATTAGTCAGTACGTCTCAACAGTCTTGGTAATGACACGGAATAGGGCCTTCTGATCACAGTTGATACATATTTCACAGAGCGATGATAGCAAGCAATACAATGGCTGGGACGTACCGCTACTGATAGCACAACACAGCTAGATGGGAAAACAAGATATGCAAAGAGATAATAAACCATCACCGGCTTTCCCGACGCCGCTTGTTCCGTAGGAAACCTTCACTTCCACCTTCCAGTACCCGAACCTCAAAGACCTTGTGTTGCAAGATCCGTCCAGCAATACTCGAGCAACTTTCAATATGCTGCCGTTTTGACGAACGGATCAGGCATAGGGATTGCTTGTGCGGTAGTCGAGGCGAGTAGCAGCGTTACAATCATGGTAGGCATGAGCGGGACAAGGAGAAATCGACTTGCTAGGGGACGTGCTAAGTATGCTGTATAGAATACATAAGGTTAAGAAGCAGTATATAACAGAACGTACTGGGCTATTGTCCGACTATTTTTTTCAGGTGATGATACGTCTCACGCGCCACCGCCACCGTATCGTATACGACACGCTCCGGGACCGATTCCTCTCGCGGTCGCAAACGCCAGCGCGAAACGAGGGTATTCAAACTCGACTTGATAATGTTGAACTGTGACAGCGCGTTCGGGGCTGTCGGCCGTTGGGAGGGAATCCGGTCGGTCATGGACGAGATCAAAGGAGCGAGGAAGTCTAGGCCGTGAAACCGCTGTGCAGAAAAATGAGCGTATAAGAATGCTATACAAACACAGGTGGATTGGCACTAACTTGTAGTAAATCCTTCTTGTACATATTACCCAAGATGAAGATATCGGCCTGCATTGCGTTATATGGTATATCCCGTGAAAGCTCCGGAAGCTCCTTGTCTCTGCCTTTGGCTCCAACCACGAACGTTGATTCACCTAGACCGAACCGAGTCGATATGCCGAAGTCGATGAAATAGTATTTGACCGGATGATCTATTCGAGGAAGCGGATGTGCAACCCGGACACCATCTGGTGTGGCAGACCTGCGAACGGGATGGTGGCCGTTGGGAAAGATGGGTGAGGCATCCATCATAATATTCTCAGATGTGCAGTCTCTGGCAAGGTTTACGTTCAGGTCAATATGTTCCATAAATATTGCGGAGAGAGTTACCTGTGTGCAACATTCTGACTATGAATGAAGCAAATGCCCTACAAACAGAAGGGCCGTTAGTCGTTGTGTTAACTCGGACACTTAGATGGGACCAACCTCTAACGTTTGTCGTACGAAGTCCATGGCCTCTCCGACAGCGCCGAATGGTGGGTCATCATAAGGTCGCAGGTACGGCATCACGATGAAGTACCTATCAGTTTCGAGAGGATCAACGAAGGTGTCCAAAATTTGGACGCAGTGGTTCATGGGGTGTTTGATGAGGTTTGGAGTAGTAAGGGACAGTGCAATGTCAAGTTCGCTGTCATTGCGACGTATTGTTTTGAGAGAGACAAGTTTTCCATCTTCGCGGCGAGTAGCGTCCATAACGTCCATGTGCTGCCCATAGTCTATCGTTAATGTAGGAACGAGCAGGGACTAAAAAGGACTCGAATTTCACCACTGATGCAATCGAATCTTCACAGAAAATGGGATCAGCTCTGGTCCCTATCCAGGATGGCTTCCATTCGGGACAGTAGCGAGGTCTCAATTGATAGCCTCGGGCGTAGAGTGAATGATAACGATCGCGCCAGAATTCCTCCCCAGGCTGGACGTTGAAAAGTCCTCTTTCAGTCGCTGCCTCGTAAAGGCGTAGATTTTCTGGAGATAGCAGGGCATAGGAAGGTAGTCGAGATTCATCGAGAGTCATCTAGTCTTTTGTGGTCCACAAGAGCTTCAAGTGAGCCAGGACAGGTGCATCAGGGTTTGTCTTCGGAGCTACGAGTTGAATCAGTTGAGAAAGTGAGCGTTAGGTTCAGACTTTGCTTCCGAAGTAGACACCGAACGGAAGAAGCGGGCCGTGTAGACCGTGAGTAAAATGCTGTGGAACCGCCTTGCCGGTCGACGCGTACGTACCTCTCAAATGCACGATTTCCTCGAGGCCTTCACAATCACACTCAGCCCGTCATATAAGCTCACGGTGGTTCTCAAGCCATGCTTCAATCACCCTTCCGTCCTACCCCCTGCCATTGTCCGCCCATACCTCCACCTGTGATCTCAACAGCCAACCAAAGCTCCATATCGAGTCCGCAGACGAATCGGTAGTATCCTCGCCTGTTTAACTCCACCTCGTGAGTGTGTTACCATACCTACTCAAGGCCACTATTAGATAGAAGACTCATGCGTTATGTCTGATGCTTTGCTAGGCCACCATGTACTCTGAAGCTGCTATGACATGGTTCGGCACAGTAGCAACTATTTTCACGTTCGGCAGCATGGCTTTTTCGATCATTCGCGCGTTCCTCCCTTCCAAGCAAATGCAGGAGCTTGACGCCGTATTCAAAGAAACCGAGACGCTCCTGCATGAAGCAGAGGAGGAAGCCTTGCTGGATACGTCGTTTTTGCGCCATGTCAAAAGAAGGCTTGCGATGTACGGTATATTATATATATTGTCATAGCTGCAGGCATGCTGACTGGATGCCTCACTAGTCTTCAGGATGCTGTCCTGCTCATCCGAAGCGAAGTTCATGCAGCCAGCTTGTCATGCGTGCATGATTATACCGGTGTCTTTACTGGGCTGGCACGGAAAGTGTCCTTCGTGTCCAAGGACGTCAAGGATCTGCGCGCCACCCTCTCCGTGAGTAACCCTCTGTAGACGAGTTCGTCGCCCGTTCTGAAGGCACGATCTTGCATGCAGAGGTCGTCTGCAGAAGCTCGAATGAGGTTGCAGGAAGAAGAACGCAAAGCCGCGTTGGCCTCTAATTGCACCGTAGCAGACGGTGCTCCTGCTGGTCACCAACAGGAAGCACCGCTCGATGATTCTAGACCTCGCCGCTCAGATTCATTGCATAGTAAGTCTTTCGTATACACTGCGATGAGGGTAGCAACTCATTCTATTTTCAGCCGTAGACTCTGAATCTACATTCGTCACCACTGAGGGTGGCGAACTGAAGGACGATACATCTCTCTGCGAGGCGGCCCCCTCGTCAGCCTCTAGCATCGTGGCAGCCGTACGCGCCGCTCCCATGCGCCTTCTTGGGAAGTTAAGGGCGACGCGAACCGCCTCCGCTTCCCTTTAGTCCAAAGATTCCACCACACCTTCATCACATGTTTCTGTTTCACCGAGTTCTTTACTTCTCTCAATCATCATCATATCCTTGGCATCGATAAACCCACTCATCTCGCATGTTCCTCACTATTACATCTCTACCTTCTCCCAGTGTTCTATCACATCGCTTTCTCCTTGCTATTTTTCTGTTTTCGAACCTGCTGTTTCTTTACTGTGTGTACATTAGTAGGATGGGACTAAAATCATAACGCTGGCGTTTATTCCCGTTCACGGGACCTGCATAGCGACGGGCTTGCGAAGGATAGGCAAGAAGGAAAGTTTATTGTATCCAGCACAGCCACGGAGATAACGCCAAGCTGTGCCGGCCGCTGGCGCTCAGTGCAGGACAAGATGACACTGCACCCGGATCTCATTAGCCATTGTTCTCGAATCTGCTTGTTCAAGCTGTTCACCACAGTATTAAAGGCTGCGCTTCAGAGACCTTTCTAACCCTTCATCGTTCCTATATTCTTTGGCGGCTGTTACTGAGGCTTATCTACGCTATCATGTTCTCTCACTGGAATCACTCTCGTACCAGACGTGGCGACCAACCACTTCCATCTCGCACCTTCTTCAAACATTCAGAGACCGCACCACCTCCACCAGAATGGGCCCCTGCACCCGAGAAGAAACATACTCTAGGTCTTTACAACGAAGCTTCCGAATCAGACTACGATACCGCAGAGGCTTTCTGCAATCAATATCCTGTTGACCCTGCCAGACCTCTTCCATCCGAAATCGTCGAGCGAATAGAGAAGCAAGGATGTGGCGCCTGGACACTGGAGCGACCACATACGACTCGGTTTGTGGGCGAGATCGAAGGGGGTGATGTCATCAGAATGAGAACAGAGAAGAAGTGCGAGGATGTTTGTGTCTTCAGTAATTTGCCCATTGTGGGTGGGTGGTATGATACCAAGAAGAAGAATGGGGTGTACTACGAGGTGCAGGTCAATCGAATGGACGATGTAATTGCCGTCGGTGAGCGCTACCTTTCCGTTTATCCTCTATCTGCGATATATCGCTCACTCTTCGATGTTGCTTGCGGATGTCAGGCATGGCATGTAAACCGTATCCAGAGTTTCGTCTCCCAGGCTGGAACCGTCTCAGCGCAGCTCTTCATCTGGACGATCTTCGCAAGTTCTGCGAAGATCCAGACGGTGGCCGGGATTATGCTCTACCTCCTGGCATAAAACACATCTCTCCAAACGACATCATAGGCTGTGGCTACGTCTTCTCGAGCGGCGCTATCTTCTTCACCCATAACGGTCGTCGTCTCCCCGACGCCTTCACAGGTATGTTCCTCCCGCGGGCGCAATACGACGTATATGCTGCGATTGGCGTATGTGGTAGGAATGAAGTCGAGGTCAATTTTGGTCAAGAACTTTTTGTGTGGAAGGAGGGTAACGATTGGGCGTGGAAGATTGAGGGACATGTTGGGATGAAGTTGGCGGGCCCGAGTGGCGCGGAAGAGGAGGACTTGCCGGCATACTCAAGAACATGACCAGTTAATCCTACATCACTGTAGTTGATTATATTCTCTTCACAGATTAACTAGTACTGAGCGGGTGTACGGTAATGATGGGCCCACATTGTTTATGCTTATGTATCTTATCACTTCAGGCCGCAACCAGGCCGTCGAAATTTGGGTAAGACTCCTCAGAGAATTGGCGCCTACTGTAGTTGACTGATAATCAAACCTCAGTCGACCCCCTGCTCGCTCACTGTGATGCACGTCGCCATAAGTACGCCACACTGTAAGTCGCCACAGGAATAGTCGGTGTTGCGGAGCTTAAAATATCCGGTTAATCCCGGCCCTTGTTGATGTGGCGTCTGGATCCACAACTTGTTGCAGTCCTCCGAGTCCGACACCCGGACCTTTCCCGCCATCCAGCTGTCTTGCTAATATCCAGCCATACACCCTGAGCATGTCATAAAACTTTCTCCGCAGTGTACGCTCCAGTTACTCCCTGAACATTGCAGAACCCTTCAGAATCTTGCTTACCCATCTGGACGCGCGTCGCTGGGCCACGTCTATCACACACACGCGTACATATCTACTCAGCTTGTGTCCGTAGATCATTCGTCGTCTTGACCTGTAGTCTTGGCCCACTATCCTACTTGTGACCACCGCCTCTCAGTGAACTGATACTAAGTCTCTCACTCCATCTTCGACACAATGTCAAACCTGAATAGCAGCACCGATGTCTGGGTCACATCCATTGAGCACCTCAAAGATAGACCCAAAGCAAACGAGGCTCTCAAGATCCTCCAGAGGACCGCGTCCTTAGTCAAACCTATCATGCGAAAACATTCATGGAGGCTGCCTACGCTTGGCGAATTTTTTCCCAACAACCCGAGTCTCCTTGGTGAGTGGACTTTCATACTGCTTTTCAATCATCGGCTGAACCTCAATTACTTGAGCCAGGCCTGAGTGGGTATATGTTTCTGTAACATTTGTAGAATATTGCTCACCTTCGCATAGATATCAATGGTGGTCGAAAGATTCTCATCCGATTACGACCCGCTCATGCTCCCGATTCTTTCTATCCGGAAGAGGACATCATAGGCACTATGCTTCATGAGGTGGGCCGCCCTCGTACATCACTGTGCTGGACGTATGTTCATACTCTTGACTGTATAGTTGACACATAATGTCCACGGGCCACATGATGAGAAATTCTACAAATATCTATCTGGTCTGGAAGAGGAGTTCTACGAACTCAAGCGGAGCGGATATTCTGGTGAAGGCTTCTTCTCCAAAGGTCATAGGCTTGGCCTCGGTGTCTCGCATGACCTGCCACCACATCTCGCCCGCCAGAAGGCGCTGCAAGCGGCAGAGAAGAGAAGAGGTTTTGCCCAGGTATTGGGCGGTGGAGGAAAACTCGGCGGAGGCGGCCTTGCCCGTGCGGGCATGAGTCCCAGAGAGGTGGCTGCCTTGGTATGTCCCCTGAGTCGTATTTTCACTGCGATTTGACGCTGATGCTCGTAACAGGCGGCTGAGAGAAGAGCGAAAGACGCAAAGTCCTGTGGTTCGGGGCCACAGGCCGAGCGAGAGGCGGAACAAGCGGCGAAAGATAGCGTGAAGCACGATGTCATCGACCTAAGATTCGACAGCGATTCAGACTCGGACGTCGAGTTCGTCGAAAACGATGACGATGTAATCATTGTTGGCGACGATAATGCTGTTGCTGGTCCTTCGAAGGTTGTGATACCCCAGTCAAAGCAACATGCCGCCGCTACCTCTTTCACACCGCCATCTTCGTCTTCGGGGAAACGGCGAGATCCTGCATCGAGAGAAAAACCCGCCACTTCAACTTCCTCGTCATCGGCTCGTTCTACTCCGTATTCTCCTTCATCACCCCGCACCGCTCCTACTGCCGCTACAACCGCATCGACATCGGACACACCTACCTCAATAGGCGGAGCAACAACGTGGCCGTGTTCCGTCTGTACGCTCATTAATCCCGTACACGCTCTGCAATGTGACGCTTGTGCATCGCCACGCCCAATTCAGCGGGTTTCAACACAGTCTGGATGGAGTTGTAGGGTTTGTGGCGAGCAGGGTATAAATCCCGACTTCTGGACGTGCACCTTCTGTGGCACTGTGAAGGATTCGAGCGCATAACGTCCCTAATGACGGGCTCCTGTGGGTTCCTCCATAGTATCGATCGCGTCCTCGTCTGAGTCGTGATGAAGTAGGAATACATGATCGCTCTATGCCTTCGGCATGCCTCATAGTAGTAGTTCATTTCATTTTGTATGTACAATATCAATCCTGTGGATGACCACGATGTTCATTCAGACTGCTCCTTGGTGCTATTCTATCATCAACGTGAACGTTGCGCCGGGGTACACTCCAGCCTTCTTCAAGCTCTCGTCCATGTCGCATTTTAGCATCACCGCATCGTCCAGATCATCTTGCCACTCAAACTCCCTCAACATCAACATCGAACTTTTCAGAAGTCATGCGCGGCGGCGGACTCGGTACTATGACTGTGGTGGAAAGTTGAACAAGTCGTGGAATCGCCGTTCCTGCCTTCCGGAAACCGGGGTAGAATTCCTTCCTTGTTTTGTGGTGCCGATCGGTGTGGCCCATGGCCAAGCATGCCCTCAAAATATTCTTGCACAGTATATATACGGGAAAAACAGTGATATCGGTCACTCAAAGTCAACCGCCTCCATTCGTGATCACAATTCATTCCTCCGACTTTTGAATGAGGCTGTCATCCTTTACCATGAAAGTCGCGTGGGGGTAAGCCCCAGCCCTCTTCAAGCTCTTGTCCATATCACACTTGACCATTACTTCCTCGTCCTCATCACCTTCCTCCTGCCGGAATCTCTTCATCATCAACGTCGCACTATATCGTGAGTGAAGTCAGTGCTGAGGATATAGGTTAACAATCGCAGAGTCCGTCATAACTTACCGCACAAAAGGCAAGTCAATTTCCTTGTATAACCGGGTAAGCAACCGATGAACGAGATGCTCAGGGTCTACTCGAACTGTGTGCCGTATTCCATCGGGAAGCCATACGAATATCTCGATCTTTCGGTCGTGTGAACCTGAGGACAGCGTCAGTGTGGAAAACATATCAGAAATGTCGAGACGGCAGAGACATACCCAAGTTCTTCGAACCGTGCCACGATCTTCCACATTCGAGACATGAAACAGAGTCCTCAACATAATAACTCAGTATCCCCGTCGCCTCTTCCGAGTTACAGAATAACGGACACAAGCCCGGGCTGAGATAAAGACGGTCGAGGGCAGCATTCGATAGGTACCGTTGTCGGAGGAAGCGGAAAAGAGAGCGATATGTTGCCTTGACGCATTGCCGCCCTAATGGTGTATCGGCTCTCGAACCGAGATCTCCAACAACCATCTCCTTTAGGCATGGGAGAAACAAGGAGAGGTGATGCTGTGGCACGAGGAAAGGATTATCATCATCGCCGTCCGCACCGCCTGCGGATGGAGCACTCAGCCGTGCCAAAGCAGACAGGAATTCGGGAAGCCCATAGGGACCGGACACCCTAAGGATCTCGACTCCTTTGAAGTGGCCAAAAAAGGATCGCCATCCAGAAACGCTGTTGTAAGACTCTGATGTGCCATCTTCGATGCCTTCTGTAGACATCGAAAGCCATAGCGCCAGCACATCTGAAGTGGGTAGGTGTTCGCACATCGCTGAAAGCTGCGCGAAAGGAGCATAGACGCTGGGTTCATGGGGCGGAGCTTCGTCCAAGTCGAGGCCGGTGAAAGATCTGGAGAAACAGACAGTTGGTCCAAGCGTAGGTTTATGTGTAGCAAGGTACCACATCTTCTCTAAGTGTTCGGTGCGCCAGCCGCGGTAGTCGATGGACTGTTCACTGCTCCCCGCACCCAGGGAAATGGAGAGGTATTCATGTGGCTGAATCTGGGGGCGATTCGTGAGGTCGCTGAGGCCGCTCAGCGTATCGACTAGATAGTCGTCGTCGTCGCCAAGGCCTGACGTAACGATGGTGGGTCGTATGAAAGTCGTCCGATCAGGATTGAAAGATATCTTGCCGAAAAAAGCATCGAGTGTGTAAGGGCATCCGCTCGAAACGGTCAAAAGGCGTAGGTTAGGAAGAGCAACAGGAGCGATGCCATGGTATGTGACATCCGAGTGGTACTCCTGCGCAATGTTGCATTCGTAACACTCGTCTGCAAAAGACAAACTGACGGTCTCCAGGACCGAAGTGCGGCGAAGGAGGTCTATCCAGGATGGTATGGACCAGTAGTGGTGCCCCAATGACAGATGGTGGAGATGTGGGAGAAGGGGAGATGTTACAGGAAGCTCGTATCCCGATGGAAGCTGCAAGGCACGGAGCCGAGGAGCATTACCAGCAAACAAATCGCTGGGGATGACCGATGGCCCGGACTTTCCATAATCCTGCTCCTCTTTGATGCAAAACTTCTCTAGCATCGGCATCGAAATATTCAAGGGAAACTCGTCCAAGTATACCCCGTCCCCTAAGGTCAAATTTCGGATCCTGTGCAAGTTCGAGCGTAGTCGTTCGCTGGGTTCTCCGTACCAGCCCTGATCCATCTCGACATCCAAAACTCTCTGGCAGGACCGATCGAAAAATGCTAGCAGCCAGCCTTGGTTCGGTGCAACGGCGCGAGAGATGGACGTCCAGAGCTCTGGGTATTCCAACGCAATTTGGCGCCAGACGCTACAGACATGAGTAATGGTGACCCAACCGGGGATAGGCTTCTGTCCTGTGCACGTCTGGTGACGAGGAGCGTTGACACTGAGCTCGAGGAGGACCATCCGCAGGATTTCTGGCGGAAGGCGAAAGATTGGGGAGGGCTTGTGTATACTGAGGCTGGCCAAGGTATCAGGGCCCGTTAAGTTTAGTCTACAAGAGTGCAATGTATTCACCTCGCGGTGTTGCGTTGAGATCGAGCCGGGCCCATCATGTGATCAACTGCGTCGCAAAAGAAGAATACTATGCAAAACATATCAGTCAGAGGTATGGAGGATTGTTACTTGAATACTTACGAGTAGCGGAAGAGAAAAGAAAAACCCTCCTCGAGGAATGTATGTCGGGAGGTAACCAGACGGCGCTAGTAGGAACAAATGACGAGATAGACCCCAGAACCCAGAGAGCTCTGTATTTAGGATGCAACGAGTGGTATTTGGTGATTTAGACTTTGTTATACGCGAGAGACGGCTCGCACGACTCGGAAAAAAGGATTGGGGGAAGAGGTATCGCTGTGGTGGTGGGAAGCAAATAATTGTGACGTGGGAGTCATATCGGCGGTCCTGACCAAGTTGATGACATGATGCACGGACCAACTGCATCGCTAAACTTATCAGAAGAAGAGTTGAGAAAAGGAAAATGTGGCCCTACAGCGTGCATCCGCTTGATGAACGTAGATAGCCGGCGTCGGGCCGATCCGGGGAAAATATCCCCATTCAGTGCCACTGGCGCCATCGAATGTGGCCCATTGGATTGACTTACCTCTTCGTTTTCGCTACGACATGGCCAGAGATGGTGAAGTGGTATTTGCCCCATCATCCAGCTGAAGCAAACTTGTGAAAATATGCCATATAAATAGATTAGATGTGTGAGTCGAGGCTGTAAAGGCGCAGCAGTACGTTCATGACGACCGTGCGGCTGTAGGATCATGAGCTCGCTGATGGGTACCTCGCCACTCATGGAACCCTACGAATGGAACCTCTCCACAGAGCCTCCTAGTAATACTGTGCAGCTCATCGACGCACTAAGCATAACCTCGTCCCATCAGCCCGAACATTCACAAATTTTCACGAGAGTAAAAAAAACGCACCTCAAGTATCTGAAACACCGCCACGATCGCCGCCGAATAATACATATAATCCAAACTCTTGAATACGCTCGAATCTATCTGCCTTATTCCTCCCCTTGGAGGGTTCACCCCTTCGCCGGCATTCTTGCCACCAGAGTGGATTGCGCTGAGATACACAGGCGTGTAATGGTAGACGAGCCGCTCGAGTATGTTCTGTGGTAGGACGGTATGAATCGGTTCGCCGGTGCGGAGGGATTGCGAGACTAGCGAGAAGGTGGTGAGAACGTCTTGGATGAAGTTCGGATTGAGGACGTTGGTGTGATGCAGCAGCGAAACGCGCCATTCGTCGTCCATTTTCCAGAGAGCACCGGCGAGCTGGGATGCAGGCGAAGCAAATGTAAATATTGGGATTACACCCATTGAACCAGCCGTAAAAGGTTGGGATAGGGAAAGTAGGCTCACCTGCGACATACACGCCGTCATCTCAAGCTGTACCTGCGCCAACCGGACATAGTCCTTATGCGGCCAATGCCCCCTCAAATTTCCCTCCCACCTCGCCATTTCCGTCTGTTGCAACACCCCCTGCAACTGACTTATAACCGAGACCATTTTTTGCCTGAATGGTTCTTTCCACTGATTCGGGAACTTCCTGGGGTCGAGTCCTTTGCTGTGCATTGAGCTGCCACCAGTATTGTTCAGCTGCTTTTCATTCGCGGGATCTTGTCCTTCGGCTATGGCGTCTTCTGATATGGGATTCTCCTCGCGTCGATCTTGCTCCGTTCGTTCAAAATCAGTTCGAATCCATGCAGACATGAGGAACGTATAAGTTTGCGCGAGTTTATTGATGGTAGCCGCGTTCCGAAGGCGGACGACCTTGCGACCTGACTTGGGTGGGAGCATCATGATAATGAAGGAGGCGGCCGAACCTGTTCGCATATTGATGTTAGCGCCAATGGCTCGGACCTAAGGAATGCAACAAGAGAAGGTATAGGAAGGATGAAAGTTCATACCGATGACGACGAGCACCCATCTTCTCCATGCGATTGGCCAGCCGATTCCCGGTGGATCGAACACGGCCAAGTGTCCATCGATCCAGGAATATCCGACGATGAGGACAACGGTAGCCTATAAGAAAACAACCGCGGTTCAAGTCAGTCTCTCGGTCGTTTAAATTCCATGAAAGCTAAAGTCGGCGCGGACGTACATTCATAATGATGACACCAGGTAAATATTGCACCGGCGCATAAAGTCGAACAAAGACCAGAGGAACGAGGAATACGGCCATTGAAGCCGCACTCCCATAGGCACTACCATTACTCTTCGCATTCCCTGCAGTAATCATAAGCCACGTGCGTCATATGTGCAAGTCACTAGGCAAACGTAGGGACGGAAGTCTACGTACCTATATACCAGATCAACAGACCGACGATTAAACCGACAAATGTGCCCAGGAGACGAATAACGTAGCTATGAAAGGGTCAGTCGGTTGGAGTATGGTGTGTACGAAGGATTGGAGGAAACCTGCTTACTTGTAGATTTGGTCGCCGGCGTAGATGTTCAGCGTCGTTTGTGCCATGATGAGCGCCCTAAGACAATACAAGGTTAGGTACACGTCTAGCTAAACCACGTCGGGACGGTCGACGATTACATACCATAGTCCCTTCTGGGCATAGTAAAACTCTGAACGCCATCATTCCACGATCAGAAGTTTAAACAATGATAACAAAGTAACATTGACATGAACTTACCAGCGCTCTTCGGGAAGACAGCAGGAAGGTACAGCACTACAGAGAGCAGCGTATACCTGAAGCAGAACTGACCGTAAATTTTATCAGCTACGGACTTCGGAGGTTAATTTATATGCAGACAGACTCACCAAAAACTCAGCCGTCCCGGTCCACTCGTATACCCCATGGAAAGCGTTCATAACCCTCTGGAACCCGTTCTGCGGCGGTTTACTGTCCGGGTCCTTCGCTAAAAAAAAACCAGCACAACCAAATCCGCCAGGCCCGTCCCGCATCTCAACAACACGCAGCTGATGAAAGCACAGATCAGGACTCACCGTAAGCCTCGTCGTCTTCATCGATGCCGTCTCCCTTTTCTTTTGTATCCCTCGCATCCTCCTCCCCAAGCGTCTCCGCAAGTTGCTCCCCACTTCTCCCAAACACCACCGCATTCGCGAGTGCCCTGAGTCCCTTCGGGGCCCACAGCCTATTCCTCCTCCTCTTCGCCACTTTGGACCTCACCAAGTCTACGAGCACTAATATGACATCCGCGACGGCGATCAAGGACGCTCCGAAGACGTAGCTGACGAAGAGACCGCGGAGGGGAAGGAACGATTTCTTCATATCCACAGCGGGATCATCTTCGCCGTCGTCGGCAGTGACAGTGGCGGGGGCTACGGCCGGGACCGACTGTCCTTGTCCCTGCGACTCAATCAGCTCCGAATAAGGCTCCACAAGCTCCAACCTCCTCCTCTCCTTAAAATCCTCCAACGCCCCCCTCAACTTCTCCGCCCACTCATCCAACTCCTTCTCCCTCCTCGCAAGCCCCTCATTTCCCTCATCGCCCTTCTTCGACTCGCCCTTCCATCTCGTCTTGTTAATGAACTCCAGCATGTCCTTGGTGCTACCTACAGCTCCGGCGCAGCCTTCTCGCAGGTCGGCGGTGGCGGACCGGACGGAGGGTAAGACGTCGGAGAGGCGGACGTGGAATTTTTCTTCGGCGGCGGTGGAGCGGTCATAGAGTTGACGGAGGAGGTACGAGTCACCTGTGCATAAGCCATGGAAGGTCGGGCGTATGAGTCGCCTGAAGGTGAACAAGAGTAGGTGTGAGATCAGGACTGACCTTGAGAATGGGAGTGTGAGGATCCGTGGAGCGTTGACGTGTCGTCTCGAGAAGTTGCGGACATCTCGTTGAAGAAGTGAGATTTGCGGCCGATGTAGCGGACGAAACTCATGAGACCGTCTACAGGTGAAAAGAGGAGCAGTCAGGATAAAGACAGCTTGGACGTGAGGTGAGAAATGTGTGACGTACTGATTCGAGCGACGATTCCGAGGAGTGGTTGTTCGAGGTCCTGGACGTCTGTGCTGTGCCAGCGACCGTAGCTGAATTCGCTGTTGATCAACTTGAATCGCTGGCCCACTGTTATCCGACAAATCATGGTCGAACGTATGTTTAGTAAGTTACTTAGTGGTAAAAATACAAAGGGGGGAAGGAACGTACAGGAAGAATAAAGCCTGACCATCCCCTCGCGCAGACCTCTTAACTTCATCACCAACGCAGACTCCATATCAATATCGCGCGGGTCCGACGACAATACTTCAAGCCATAAAACAACCATCAGGAAACGAGGACAAGAATTTACTACAAGAACTCCCACAAGGTTTCACTGACCTTCATCCTGCAAGACCAATATCGTCTGCACAATCCCCAGTATGCTCACCGCGGTCTTCAAATACGCATGGCTCATCGTCTCGGGGAAGACGAAGATGATGAGGAAGACGGCGATGGCCATATATTGCGCGACTGGTAGGAGAATGATCTCTGGGATGGTGTAGTAGCCTGTCGGGAAAAGAGGTCCGATAGTCTGTGTTTTCGTATGAAACACCAACCCAGGCGTTAGATATAGATGCTGATAGGATGTAGATATACTAAAAGGAGGGGACCCACACAAAATATATCGATAGCGATAGTTCCGAAGACGCTCATCAGAGTGAACTGAGGTTTGTAGGCGCGTATGAGTGCGAAGAGGAAGGTTCCGACGCCAAGGAAGACGCCCATGACCACCGACGATCTATCACCAACAACCAAAACCCACCAATAAAATCAGTAACGCATTGAAAATAATATACTTGAGGGCAAAATATTGAGAGGCAGATGCTCACCGCGTGTCCAAGAATACACCCTCGAAAACGGCGACTTGAAATACGGCATCTGGGTTCGTCGCGGTCGCGGCACTATGATCGAAATTAAAATGTTAGGAAAAATCCTAAGGCAGCGCTTCAAAGCTTCATATGGAACACGGGACTGACCTCGCTTCGGTCTTCTGGATGGCTGCAGCAAGGAGAGTCTGGCTGCGTGCCGCAAGCGCGGCCGCCATACCAGCTGCTCCGAACGCCCATCCTAGGCAGACGCCGATGACCATGGTCGACATAGCCTGCCATAAAAACCAGGATATGAGTGAGCAATTGTTCGTGAGGGTAGCGGTATGTGTTACAATGAACGAGATGCCACTGTTTAAAGACCGTCGCATTACGTCATACCGACAATTTCAAAGTTCGCTTGCACGACATAGGAGCCGTTTCAAAGCGCAACAATTGCCGGTCATATGGCACTCTAACCGGCGTGAATTAAAATAAGTCTGTGAAAACTCACGAATAAGAAGGTTTGGATGGGTAGATTGGGTGGCATGAAGAATGAGCACAGAACGGTGAAAAACGCACTGAGCGCCGCCATTATAACGTCTGCATCAGTTAGACATAATAACACGGTATTTGAAGAGTGAACGTACGCATTTCCAAGCACCGTCAGATTCTTCGTCGGGAGTATAAGGATGAACGCAGCCCAAGACGCGAGCCAGCATCGAAATAGTATCTTCCATGACGCCGGATTATTCACATTCGCTGCCACCCAAGACGGCACATATTTCGAAAGACCAGGACCACCGTTCGACGTGCCTGGTTTCAACGCCGGCTTGGTTCTTTCACTAGAGGGTCCCTCTGCAGCAGTACCTGCGTTCGGTGTGGCGCCTGAACCATCTTGAAGTCTCTCCGCTGTGGCCTGTGCGTGCTTCTCATCTCCAACGTTCGAGTTCGTCGACGAGCCCGGCGGACGCGCTGTGTCGGCCATTAGGATGTGGTGGTCGTGGTGGTAGGCTGTCAAGGATGCGGATGCTAATATCCATGATCTGAACGCACCCCATATATTTGGACTTTCAGCGCTAGGAGCAGGCTGCAGTTGAATATTCCTGCTTCGAAGCTGTCAAATCTCGCTTACGCGGCTAAGCCGTCGGGCCTCGTTCCGGTGCTTTGCCCGGTCGGCGACGCCACACAAAGGCGGGCGGCCACACGCTACGAGCAGACAAGTACTCCCCGTGAAGCACGCTCTACAGTGATGTAGCAAATTATATACTGTATCTACGCAGTCAGCCTGGAAGAAAGTCCGGTACCGGATCAAGCATTGTCAGGAAAGATGAGGTATCGACCGGGCCCCGTTCTTACATGTTCTCAACGGTAAGTACAATCACTCAACAGTGCTTGGAGCGCCGCTAGTAGGATGACAGCGAAGTCGAAGGAGGACGGGGTCAATAATATTGGACAAGCAATAGTGGAGGCTACCCATGGACAATAAATCACATTCACAATAGATACACACCAATACACAAACATTCACGACACAAAAGAAATCACCGCCTCCCCTTCCTCCTCTTCGTCTTCCCTGCTCCCGGCCCCTCACTTTCCCCACCCGTCTCCGTATCAGCACCCGAATCCACCGCCTTCGAGCCCTTCGTCGCTTTCTTATGAGACGAAGGTATCCAGTCATCGTCGTACGATTTCGACGCGTTTGTGGCGGGTGAAGGTGTAGAAGAAGAGGTGTTGGAATAGGAGATGGATGTTGTTCCGGATTGGTAGAGGTGGCGGTCGTCTCGTTCGATAATGTCACCGCGGATAGGTTTACCGGCGTTGGGGTTCCTGCAAGAGCGGTACGACGTAAGGTTGTGCGTTTTATGATGGTCTGTAGAGTTGAGATGGAATATTAGAAACTCACGGTACCCAAGCCTTCTGGACATTAGTCTGGAACCCAGGTGCGTTTCGACCACGCTACCAACACCGTACAACATGAGCATAACGTGTTCCTTGCATAAAACGGTTCGCTCACTCCTGTAAGCGGTCCTTCAAACCATCGCTTCCACACCAACCACCCGGCCAGCCCAAAAGTCCCTGCTATGACTCCATACATCACAACGCTTCATTTCGTTTAGTATCACGTATAGTCGACAGGGATGTACCAAGGGATGCAGCATTTGCGAGACGGTCGATGTCAGGAGTATGTTTAGGTGGAAATTTAATGTAGAAAGAACTCACCTCTGCGCGTCAACGCTTGGGTCCATCGTGTTTGTTGACATTTTGAAGAAAGGAGAGCGGGAGCTTGGTCTAGTCAGTGAGGAAGAAGACTGGTCACTGGAGTTCACTGTGGCGCCTCCACGTATTCCAGACGGCGAGCTCCGGGTGGCACGCTAAGCGGACACGCAAGCCACGTGGGTGTCTTTCGTTTGTCTGCATAGAACTCCGACGCAAAAGGTCGAGCATCCCTTCGTTACAACCACCATCGTCTCTAACACTACATCCCAGGGTGTAATTTTTCACAATACGGTGAGCAAATTTCTCTGAATACGGTTATCTTTACATTCAGACGAAGGTAGTACGTCGACAGGATGACTTTCTCCACCCCCGACACTCAGCGTTTTTCAGCACAGTCTACGATCCAACAACATCAAGGGCCTATTTCCATGCTTGTGAACGAAATTTTGCTTGCGATTTTTCTACTCCATCGACCAAGCCACTCGAATGACGCCGTGCGCGATTGGACTTGGCTGAGCATCATTCATGTGTGCAAGAGGTGGCGCGACATAGCTCTTTTGTCCGCCCAAATGTGGACGGAGATCATCTGTTCTCGACATACCTCTCTCACAGACTTCATGCTCGAGCACTCTCAGAGTATGCCTCTTCGCATCCGCCATAAGCACGCTCCCGATCTGCTTCCCTCTTTCCGTAGCGTCTTATCCCGGGCGAATCGCATCCAAAACGTCACTGTCCGCGCAGAAGACGGCCAGTTGCTTGATCTACTTCTTAGATCGTTCTCGACAAACACCGAGAATATCCTTTCGGTGTTTGATTATGATATCCTACCCCCAAACCCCGCACTACCCCCAAACCTCACAGAGTGGCAGGTCAGTGATGGCATAGTTAACGAGCAGTTTATATCACAGCTCCCAAAGAGACTGGTCTGGCTCAGGCTCCCTCGCATTCAAGTTATATTGTCAACCATGCAGGTACAGACGTTTGACAACCTGACAGAATTATTGGCGAAGGTTGTCCCACCAACTTCTCCTGCCGACATACATGCCCTGCTCGGACATTTTCCAAACCTGGAAGTATTCACTCTCCATAGCTTCATGGATAATGTAGACTATGCGACACCAACTGCCCAACCCGTCACTCTTCGGCATTTGAAGGTTCTCACGTTCGCCCAGCGTAGAGCGCTTAAGGCTGTTGCGCATCTAGGTTACATGACCAAACTCCACACGGATCTATGCATAGACCTACAATTTCTCATAATCCCAGAATATATCATTGGATTACAGCTATTCCTCCAAGCCAGACAACGCCAAGGAAGGACATTGTTCCCTCGAGTTGGCCTTCTACTCCAGGACGGTAGAAGGCCAAACCATCTTAAGTACATGGGACGCTTGTTGATTCAATGCAACTCATTCATTGAACCAGGTTCCGAGTACACCAGACATCTATTCCCTGAGTTGCAAGGCCCGCATCTAGAGCCTGGCGCTGTACTCCTGAATGGGATGTACCGGGGTACAATTACTCCTCCCCCTGTGACTCAGCGAATTGTGCCCCTTCTCGAGTTGATAGAGCTCAGACACATACAGCACTTCACCGTGTGCATTCATATCTCTAACCTGCCTTATGAACCATCGACTCTCTTCCCTGTTTTGGATCAGTTGGTTCAGTTGACTCATCTCCAGCTGAGCGGATTCGCGGCCATAAACACTGCCGTCCGCTTTGTACAGAAACACACAGTCACTGGCCATCAGGGTGGCAAAACTCCCTTTCCATCACTTCAACACCTTGCGCTTCGAGTGCTCCTGGAGGAGCATGACGACTTCGTTACGAGCACGCTGAATGATATTGTGCACGCGCTTCAGGATCGAGAGGCGTGTGGGGGTCAACGACTTCGGATGTTGATGATACGCGTCGAGAAGGACTCTATACAAGATGTGGTGAATAAGTTGCCGGATAGTGGGATCACGGAGCGGTACGATATAACTGGCCCAAACGATTCGGATTCAGAAGAATGAGAGGCTATCTGAACCTGGTGGTCAGTATATATCTGTGAGGCGGTCGGTCTCGTGGATATTCACAGTAATCCTTCCCAATTCCAATGCATGTGTGTACTTACGTCGAGAGGATCGAGAATGACATTAGATTTTACACACGTCGGGAATTTGACCGACAAGACATGATTACAATATTATACACAAGGTTTTCATGTTCGCGTCCTACGTACTCCTAGTCCCGCGACAATACCAGTACCGTCCCTCCGAAAAAAGCATCTGGGGGTATTCAATAGTCATACTCCAAATGAAGCTCGGACAAGGTGACCCTCAGCCCTCCGTGACCTCCCGCATGTTTCTCAGCTTCAAATTCCTTCCCCAATCAATCTCTCCGGCCGCTCGACTACAACCTAGCCCATCCTTCGTGACGGTGAGTTGCCCTGTGTATGATGGGATTTTGCAAACTTTGCCAAACTGATCTTGCCCACGTCAACAAGGGTGTTTTTTATTTTTTGCGCATCGAACAGTTTTTAACATGGGAAGATCGTCACCTGTTGATCCCGAATTAAACTTTTCTTCTAGTGTGTTGGCCCTTGTTGCTATTGTAGAAACTGTGTTTCAGATCGTGAGTAGTGATCCCAGTCTGCTCTTCCCATGTGTTCTAATTTTGGAGGGTATACAGATGTCGTTGCCTGCTTTGAGTGTCGAAATACGTCCTCCCGAGTTGCTCTTCACTGTGTCGCAGGTAGCCAAATATCATTGCTCTGATCATAAATCCCTTTCTAGCTATCAACAGTCGACACCGCATTTGATAGCATCGTGGCGCCCTATTTCGTCGTGTACGTTCTCCACTGATCAATCTCCAATGACCCCGTCATTGATTCAGCATCGTCATAGACTACCAAATTCATGCTCGTCTTCCATGTGGTCCTCAATCTCCGCCAATTCGGACATGCAGAGCTGGGTCACACAACATCCAAGACGGAGGATCTGCCCAGCATCGCCTTTGAACACAATCGAGTTTTGGGAAACATAGGAGCTCTTCTTGATCTAGGACAGTGGGACCCCGAGGATGACCGTGACGGTTTTGAAGAGGAGAATTATGGCGGCACCATGGATACTGACATGGAAAGAGCGGGCAAGCGACCGCATGGATCGAACGAGACCGATGTTCCGATGGTACGTATCTAACTCCACCTCATTCTCGGTTTGGTTCTGGAGTTGACTTGTTACTCATTAGGGATACGAGGGGCCAACCGATGCAGATATACAGATGGTATCGATCGAAAGAACGGCTGAGGAGGCGATATGAAGCCCAAGACCTTTTCTTCCCCCCCCCCTGCAAATGCACTGTCCAGCCCACTGTCTCACCATTACTCCATAGAGCCTAGAAGGCCAATTGTACCAATGGATTAGAAACGAAGGTTTCCTGAACACGGACCGAAAGAGTCCACGTCTAACGTAACAAATAATTGATAATAGACGGGAATCCCTTTTTGTCGCTGTGTTTGAGTTTTTTTGAGCTATGATAACGCAGGGACGTGCCTATGTAGATCATGACCCGGAGTCTCGGACAACTATACTATCATGTTCTGCGTCATGGATGGCGAGATTATGCCCGGGTCAACGCCCATCCATGTACGGTGGCCCTCACTTCTTCCTCTCCCGAATCTTCCGGGAACATTGGCTGAATGTTCCTCGTCAGTACGATGGATAGGAGATAAGAAAGGGGATGTGCCCAAGGGAAACGAACAGGATATTTCTCCGTTACGATCTCCTCGCATATCCAACCTCTTTGACGTGCCTTCTCGAAGAACTCCAAGTCACGATGGGCAAGATGAGGACGGTGATGTGTGTAGAACACAAGAAGAGTGGCTTTGTGCTCGTCGCTCGAAACGTTGCTCAGAGTACTTTCAGCGGTGGTAAGAAGTGCGTCGTGCTAAAAGGCCAGCCCATTCACCGTTATTTCTACAGCGTGACGCAAAAGAAATATAGACGGATAAAATTCTTACTTGGGAGTGATTGAAGACGAGATCAGACATGATAATCAGGTCAAATCCAGTCGACGAAGCTTCATCCGATCTCGTGATAGATTCGCGTAACAGTGCCACTGTTTGACCCCAAATATACCCCTAATACCGATGAATGGATAAACAAACACTAACAATGGAGTTTATGAAACGACTTGCCTTCACGTCTACTGCCTGCATCATATCTTCCGGTACGTTTTGCTTGACGTTGAAACTCAAATTGTCGACCAAGGCAGCGTCAGGGTAATCCGTGACTACTACCTGAGGAATACAGAAGACAGTCAGGTCACTAGAACAAGATAACAGACAATTTAGTCTTCTACTGACTTTACGAGCTCCGTTGAGAGCCGTGACAATGCTGGGTAAACCGCCACCTGCCCCAAGTTCCAAAACGCATCGATCACGATACAATTCTGGATGAGCATCAAGGTATGAAGCAAAAGACCGCGAAGCGTTCCATCTGGGAGTGCATAAGTAGTTGTAAAGGCCATCTTACAGTCAGTGCACCCACAGATAGTGACCCCACAAGGGATGATTGCCGACTAGTCGGATACTAATGGTCTGCCATGATGTTCCGGCATTGAAGCCAGGCTGATCTCGGGGCGTACGCTTGTACACTGCTGTGGTCGGATCGGGTGACGGGGGCCTGCCAGGTTCCTAAAATCCTGAATGTATTAGAGATTGTGAACATGCGTTGTTTTATCGCGTCAAGAATGGAAATCTGGTTGGAAATGCCTAGGAGGAAACCGGTGCTTACTGGAAAGATCGAGTCCAGGCAGAGAGGCTCATCGTCAGATTGAGACATGGTTAATTCTGTCAATTGGCAAGAGAAGTTTTGAGCGATAAACAAGAGGTTCTAACAGAGAAACAATACCTAGGTGTCCCGACTTCGAAGACTAAGCTCAGGAATATGAAGGCGAAGGGGTGTGGCGGTCCACGCCACGAAGATTTTTCAATGATCAATCGGAGCTTCATTCTGCGGCTGAAGCCGGGGTGGCACCATCTCAACGTTGGTCGCGTCACGGTGCTTCGCGGATGCCAGCTTCATTCGTTCGACCTTTTTTACATCACCGTTAACGTTCTTCAGGAGGCCCTGGACGGCCACCCCCTTTCAAACTCCACGATGATTACATCGAATCCGACTCAAGATGTTCCGGAGGGACATCTCTCATACTTACATGGCGCCCACACACATGCTAACCACGAGTATGTTTTGTCGCCTCATTCCCGCTGGTTAAACGCCGTATCTATTCGTATGCACTTGTCTCGTACGCGAGCGGTTATTACTTACCCATATGCTACTACAGGCCGTTCTACAACAGCTGCGTCCCCTGTCGTCAATGGTCAACTGACTATTTGAGTAAAACGACGGGGACTTTTTTCTCAAATAGACGACGTCCAGTGTTGTAGATAAGTGAGAAAGTCTCTATTCTTGCGAGGGGTGGCTCTTGGATGGTCTAATTAGCTAGCTTGGCAAAGTGGATGCTGAAGTAGGGTGTCGCTGTTCGCCTCTGCGGGGCAGCGTGTTTCTGATACTAACCTTGAAGGACAAACAAGAGCTTGAGGGCCGATCTTTTTCCCTTCCTGTCCTGCAAGATCCAGTTTAGCAGATGCGGGATCGCCAGCTGCCGATTTATGTCCCGTCGTTATGTATCATCAACTCTCAGGCTCCGTACACGCGAGTTGCGTTCCGGGGCTTTCGCGTGTTTCATTTCAGGCAGTGAGTTGTAGCTGGCGTCAGTGATCTGGCGGATCCATGGCTTCCTTGGAGTGGTATCCTTATGCGATTGTGTACGTGGGCTTCATCCCATGTGCCTGAGAGAATGAAAGATGGTATCTGGCAGAGACGATGAACTATCTTCGCCCACCGATCCTTCACCCGTTGTCTCGACTCAAGTCAAAGCGGTTATGTTTTATTTCCGTATCAAAAACCGATATGTCGTCAGAAACACGTTCATGTCCTCTGTAGAAGAAAAGTCTCTCTAGAGCGATTATTCTCATACACCGGTGGAATGTCAGCGACTAACCAAGAGTTTGTGCTACCGTCGATTCCTACACCGTGCTCAAAGTGTTTATGGGTAAATTGGGATCACAGGGCATAAGAAGCAGGAGAAGAAGACTCTTCACGGTGGGTCCGCGACTGCTTTGCGTAACACCATTTCTCCGCATCCTAATGTCGCTCTGTAACATGGAAAGTTTGCAGTGCCTCGGTCAAGTATGGATAGAACATGACGGCATTCTTCCACGAGGATTGCTGCCAGTTCTATCTTGAACACGACAGATTGAGCGATACCATTCTGTTTATAATGCGTGAACTATGCTAACAGACCCCTTCTTTCTTCCCGTTTCTATCAGATAGTTCAATTGCGTTGTGTCACAACATGGGCGCTGAAGGAGTCCTTTCCGAAGATTGGGTGCTACATCGCACCTCCGTCTTCTGGTGCTAAGTATCTTCTTAATATTCCCAAGGTTCAGGGATTGCACAAAGGCTGTGGTTCTTCAGCATACTGTATGACCAGCGCCATTGGCCCTCCCAAAAGCATCGTTCCCCTGGATTGGGGGAGCCTCGTTCCCGCTGCGAGCGTGAACTCTGTTGAACGTTGGGTGGTGCCGACGGCGTCTGTTTCCACGGTCTCGTTCAATTGCGGGGCTAGATGTACAATGTTGCTGGTCGTAAGGCCTACCTTTGGCCTACGACTTAGTCCCATGATATGCCTATCGACTTGTCTCCAAACATACAGTCCAAAACACCGCATTTACACACACACACACACACACACACACACACACCCGGATAACTTCTGCCTCCTGAAGTGGTGGGTAGAAATATAGAGACGACTGTCGTATTACGAGGCACTAGTCTTCTTTCAATCATAGCAGCCATTCAAGCTCGAAGAATAGCCCTGAAGCAACTCAATATAGTTGACAGGGTGTATTCGAGCAGTCCAGATGTTACCGTAAGGTGGATTCAGTGTATCTGCCATGCGACACGAGGATATCCGTGGGGAGGCATGTGGTATTCGGGGCCGCTCTCATCGTCGTCCACAGTTGTTCCAAAGACAGCTACACCTATCCAGGGAAGATATAGTTTGTATTTAAACGCCAGGTCCTTCCGGCGACATTTACTCATCCCCCACAACAAGCAGCGTTCATTGAAGAAACAGTAAACCTGACTCATCATGACAACGTCTGCCCCTAAGGGTACTGTCTATGGCGCGATAAACACATCCTCTACCTCTGGCGCCGTACCTCCTGGGAGAGATGAGGAGGATACCCTCGCAAGTCCACGTCTTCGCTGTCACAAATGATCATTCCTCACTTCGTCCATTACAGGATAGCAAGCCAGATTCCTTCAAATCTTTGTCCGATCCCGCCATGGTTGGCGAAATGCATGGCTCTGTTCGCCCATTACTGCTTCATCACCCAAAATAACAATCGCTCACTTTGCTAATTACAGCCCAGCGACAAAGAAGCCTCCACTAAAGGCCCTGAATCCTCCAGAACTTTGTCCACGGCCACGACTGGCAAAACTGATGTTTCTGTTCGTCCATTACTGCGCTATTAGTCAAAATAATAACTGCTTACCTTGCAAATTACAGCCCAGCGACAAAGACGTCTCCGCCCAAGGTCCTGACAGCCTCAAATCTTTGCCTTCGGCCGCGAGCGACGAAATTGATGCTTTTGTTCGTCCCTTAATGTTCTATTATTAAGAATAACTAGTTCTCATCTTGTGGATCACAGCCCGACGACAAAGAAAGTTCCAATAAAGATCCATCCCGTAGAATACACATCGAACAAGCAGAGTCCGAGACATACGATATCATCATAGTAGGCCATGGGATCAGTGGAGGTATTAATGCCAGAGAACTGTGCAACAAGGCCAAATCCATCCTTGTCATTGAACGGGTAAGTCTCGTTTTCCACTGACTTTCCCTTAATGCCGCCCTCTGATCTAGCTAACGACTCCCGGGCAGCAGGGCGACCATCACGGATCTCATATCTCGTCAGACGCAGTTGACCGGCGATGGACTGGCAACTCCATGTACTACTTCGGAGGTCACAATGCAACTTGGGCACCCTTCGCCTCTCGCATCCACAAGGACGTTCTGACAAAGTACTTCCCGACCTCTGTTCGTGACGGTCTCGTCAATGAATACTATACGAAAGCGGAGGCACTCATACCCGAGGCAGTCCATACGCCCAGGGAGGGCTCCATTACAGCTCGACTCATAAAGCAGCTGAACCAATCGCTTGAACATGATGAGGAGCAGTGGCAAGGGGGCTGCATCACATCCGAACTCAGGCAGCTTCCCTCCTCACAAGGTGGCGACACGCCGAAGGACGCGTACAAGAAGGAAAGGGATCATCCCCATTTCAAAATATTGCTCGAGACGGAGGTGCGATCGCTCACCTTCGACAAACACGAGCGGACCACGGTCACCGGTGTCATGGTTCACAGCGCTGGCGGCAAGGTTTCATATATCTCCCTCAACCCGGAAGGACGCGTTGTGCTCGCTGCAGGAAGTATTGCATCGCCTGCGATACTTCTTCGGAGTGGGGTGGATTTGAAGGAGCAGGGCGGCCTTCATCTCACCGGTCACGACATCGTCTTTAGAACTCAACACTTCCGCTACTGCGTTCCTAGCGACCGTCCCGACATTCGCTCAACGAAGTTGCAAAAGTACATGCGCCTCCCCAACGAGACCATACACGTGAATATGTCTATCGACACTTCCCCTATTCTTCCACGCGGTCGCGTCCACTGGTACGACGACATCCCCAAGTGGGTTATCGCATTCATGCGCCCCAAGCCTCTCGACTCGAGAATCTCAATCGAGATGGTCGACGATGAGCCTGTCGTTACCAGCCAGGCTAGGAGTAGCAAAAAGCGCCACACTGATTCTCTCAAGGCTGTGGCCACGGATGCCATAGACACGTTGGAGAAGGTGCTCAGCGTAGAGTTCCCGGGTGACGCTTCCCCCGGCCCACGTGAGCCCTTCTTCAAGTTTCTAGAGCTAGGAGGTATTGCGTACGATCTCGGGACTCTCCCCATGCGCCGCGAAGACACTATGATCGGTTGTGTGGATAAGGATCTTCGACTCATCGGCTATCATGGCGTATACGTTTGCGACCTCTCCGTTTTCCCCGTCTCCCCAGAGGTCAACCCTACTTTGACCCTCGTCGCTCTTGCGCTGAGGCTCTCACAGAAGATCGTGGATTTGTGGGAGGGTGCGACATCCGATGGTAGCGACACGGCACGCATTACTAACACTTCCAAATCCAAGATCAAAGTCTTCGTCGCCAACCGTGCGGGCATGCATTTGCAAGGCGAGGATGAATACACCGTGCTGGACACAGGAGGGGATGGCAGCCGCACTACGCGTAGGAGAAAGAATGGCATGGTCGAGGCAGTCTATGTCTTCCGCCTCGATAAATCGGGCGAGTTTGAGAGAGACCCAGAGATCTGCACGGTTATTCCTGGGGGCCATGGTTTGGAAGTTCCTAACTAGAGGCTTTGAAAATTGTATCGTACTGTTCGGCGAGTATTTGCGTTCTATTCTGATTTTTGAGACTCGACTCGGGGAATGAAATGTAGGATAAGTACTTATCATGTTCGGAAAGGTGGTGGGATCACTTGTGTTTGAATGTACCAATATTTTCGTTAAAAGATTTTTGTGGATCACTCGAGTACTGTGTAAACAGCGTGCACCCCTGGTTCAAGTTTATTGGTATGGACAAAGTATGGACGACTTGTCGAGTCGATCTGTCGAGAATGACTGTCGTACTTATCCTCCAAGTTTCCCAAGGTGCTGGTCCCAGGATTCATCAATTGTATCGCTGTTACATTGTCTCTGTTTGTACGTCCGCTCAGTAATAGGAGTGGACAGATATTGTTGAATACACGCCGCCAATCGACGAGGCCGAGCAAAGCGGTGGCAGCGGCAAATTGATCGGAGTTTCATTCTGCGGCTGAAGCCGAAGTGGGTGGCACCCATCTCACGGTGGCGTACGGGAACGGTGCTTGGCAGATGCCAGCTGCAAGTGGCGAGTCCCCCACCAGTCTTCCCTTGACACCATCATCTACGACTTCGAACTCCATTTCTTCGGCATCTCTTCATCACCGTCAACGTTCTACAGGCGAGGCGCTGGACGGTCACTCCCTTTCAACCTTATTAAAAAGCGCGGGGGACTACGAGTCGGACGGTATCCACGACGAGATGATCTCGCCGCGGTCGGCAGCATATGAACGGTTGGAGACTGGACGTGGCGCCGGAAATGTGAGGCAGGGTATGTTGAGGAATCTGGGGTGGAAGAAGATTGCACTGGGTATAACGTGCTTTATTGGCGTCGTGTGGGTATTCCAGAGAAATGGGAACGGGAAGGAAGCAAGCCCCGCAGGAACGGGGATGGATGGTGGTCAAGGAGGTAAGTTCGTTACTTGATTTTGGCTGTTTAAATGCTTGTGCACTCTCCTTGAGCTCTGTACAAAACGGTGTAAAGCGATACTTTATGACTAGATCATGTCTTTTGCGAATGGTTAAAGATGCTTGATCTGTTGAACGACGCTCTATCTGCGTCTGAGTACTATTCACCGCAAGCGAAAATTTTCACCCATCCTTTATTTATGCTTCGTACTGCTCATAGTATTCGATACAATACGCTAATGTGTAATATATTCTTCTAGGCTGGAAAGCGCCAGACATTTCCCATGTCGACCTGGACCCACTCCCGGGACCTTCAGAGCCAGAACCCGACTATCCTACACCCGTGGGCAGTACCCCATCGCGTCCTCAACCACCATCATCCCGACCGACTTCCTACGAAACCGACCCAGACCACCTCGGCACCGTCTACTGCAAAACACCATATAACCCCTCCTCGCCTCTCGTTCAGTATGCGCTTATGATAGACGCCGGTTCCACGGGCTCACGCATTCACGTCTATAAATTCCACAACTGTGGACCCTCGCCAGCATACGAGTATGAGGTATTCAAAATGATTAAGGGCGGCCTCTCGTCATACAAAGGTCGTCCAGAAGAGGCGGCGAAGAGCTTGGACGTCTTGCTCGACACGGCGATGCAGACTGTGCCTGAAAGTTTGAGGAAATGTACGCCGGTGCAGGTGAAGGCAACCGCTGGACTTCGGCTGCTTGGGGCGGCGGATAGCGCGGATATTTTGGCAGCAGTAAGACGCAGATTGCGGGAAGAGTATCCATTCCCGATTGCGGACGAAGATGATCAGGGAGTGATGATCATGGACGGCAAAGACGAGGGCGTCTATGCTTGGATCACGGCGAACTACCTCCTGGACACTATCCGTGCCGATTCTCCCGTTGGCGCTCCGACCTACGCTGTCCTTGATCTTGGAGGTGCGAGTACGCAGATCGTGTTCCAGCCTATCTTCAAGCAGGACGATGCCGTCGGGCTCGCGGACGGAGACCACAAATACGAGCTCAAATTCGGAGGGAAGAAACATGTCCTATACCAGCACTCGTATCTCGGATATGGCCTCATGAGAGCTAGGGAGAGCGTCCACCGTCTTGTAGAGTTCATGGCCTCTATTAGGACCAACAAGGGCGGCAGGGAAGAGATCGGGAATCCTTGTTTGGCGAGGGGTACTAAGAGGACGGTTGGACTTTCAGGAGATGAGGTGAGCAGGCCGAGAAATGTCACCATGGTCGGCGAGGATGTCGGTGGCTTCGAGGCTTGTAACCGCATTGTACAGCTTGTCATGGCGAAGGATGCGTAAGTCGTTCTCACTAGCCACCTCGCCCTGACCACATGCTGATATCTCATTCTAGTATCTGCGAGACCAAACCTTGCTCTTTTGACGGCGTCTACCAACCCTCTATCCTTGATACCTTCCCTCAAGGCAAAATCCTCCTCCTCTCCTACTTCTATGACCGTCTCCAACCCCTCCTCCCTCCCACCATCCCCGGTTCCACACAATCCCAAGACCCAATCACCGTCTCCTCGCTTGCCTCCCTCGCACAGACTGTCTGTCTGGGTCCATCGGAATGGAATAAGGCATTTGCTGGTAATCCGACGGCTTTGGAGGAATTGGAAGGAAGGCCGGAGCATTGTCTGGATTTGACGTTCATGCATGCGCTGTTGAGGCTGGGGTATGAGTTTGGCGACGAGAGGACGGTGGAGATTGGAAAGCAGATCGATGGGACGGAGTTGGGGTGGTGTCTTGGCGCGGCGATCGCTATGGTTGGAGGAGACTTGAGGTGCAAGGCTTAGTGGTGTGTTGTTAACATCGTAGTTTTTTTGAAGACCGTAGCGAAGGAGGTTGGAGTGCGGGATGGTGTTGTGTGGCACTAATGCGGTGTGGCCCGCTATCTTTGCGTCGGTAACGATGCCTGTGCGACTCTTCGTGCGGAATCCACGTACTTCAACCTATACAATATCAACGTCGCCAACACCTATGGCTCGGGCAAACAAGCCACTGCTCTATCCGCCCACAATAGCCATCAGGGCTATTACGGCTGTAGTATGACTAGTTATCAGGCGAGAACCAGCCTCCTCGTACTAGTGATGACGGGCCGCTGACAATTGCCCCAGGATACCCTACTTGCAAATAGTGGATATCAGTACTACAGCAATTGTTACATCGAGGGTGCGGTGGATTACATCTACGGAGGCGCGAGCGCTTGGTTTGGGGAATGTATACTGGCATCGAACGGTAGGTTCTCCACAAGCTCACGGACCCGAAGTGTTCCATCGACGATGCTCATTCTTTACACGCGTTTTAGGGGGAGGTGCCATTACAGCCAGCTCTCGCGATAGCACCACCGACGCGTCGTACTATGTAATCGATTCTTCAGACGTCGTCGCCGCTAATTCTAGTTTAGACCTCACGGAGAAAGTCTACCTGGGAAGGTACATCGCATATGGAGTCCCATCATCTCCGGTCTTTATTACATGCTGACACTCTATACAGGCCATGGCGAGAATACGCTCGAGTGGTCTTCCAAAGAAGCTCCCTATCAGACATCATTAATCCTGCGGGTTGGACGACGCTTGCGGACCCGGCTGAACCGTCAGTGTCCTACTCCTCTGCCGCTCATCATGCTGCTGACGACTTTATATATCTCCGATGAGCAGGATATTCGAGGAGTACGACAACACGGGCGCTGGATCAGACACTTCGCAGAGGGTTACGGAGACAACGTTGACTTCGATGATCCAGTTGTCAACCGTGATTCCTGATTATGGGGACTGGATCGACGAAACCTACTGATTGTTTGAGTGGTAACTGGGTATTCAGATATGTGCGCGGACTACTTGTACTTCACAAGGGCAGGCTGTGGGTAGATCAGGAAGCGAGCCACTCGCGAAATATGAGAGTCTGGTACTAGTGCGCCAAACGGTCTACATGTAAGGTACATTGATCCAATAACATACTCCAGAAGGGGAGTAAATAAATATTCCAAAAACGTCTCAAAGTCTCAACTGTCCACCTCACAGGGCCCCTAAGATAGGTCCATACACGAGGTCAACATCGCTAGGTAGATCAGACTCAAAGATCAAGTGAGACTGACCCCGTCGTCCTGAGCGTTCAGATTATTCGTGATGGTCACTTCATTGTTCTTATAGGACCCAGTACTGACGACGATGACAATCTGAGAATCAGCCGCGAAACGTATGTTATCATCGAAGATTAGAAATTAAGCTCACTCGGTTGTGTACCCGTAGATGGTGAGAGGTCCGCCATAGTCCACAACGACCTGCTCGGTATACGTCCCCGGATAGACGAAGATACTCGCGCTTGCAGTTCCGGAGAGCGACGCTACTGCGGCGCTGATTGTACTGTCAGAACCCCCTTCATGGTCAGTGAAACTTGTTGAAATATGACAGAATAGAGCGTACCTGAATTGACCGGACTCTGTGCCACTTTGTCTCACGACGATGGAGCCTGAGGGAGGACTCGTTCTAGACGCACACAAGACAAGCGCAGGAAGTAGAAACAACGTTATCAGGTTGAAGACGGCGAACGAGTACATGACGCCAAATGAAAGTCAAGAGGTTCGTTCTATTTCAACGTGCACGCAGATTATATATGTGGTAAGTTAGGTTCCGAGTAAGTCAATGTTGCTACGCAGCGTTACAATCAGGCGACCCCGAGGCATCAAACCTTTCCTTGTGATCATAGGTCTAATAGATGTTATCTGCAGCCTGAAAACCGAGAGGTTCTATGAGCTTCAAATTGGCTGCTTGAGAGCTCGTAAACTTCAATTTTTATTTCATAGTTCGCTTCGAACCCTCGGTAAGTGCCAGACGCATGCCAAATGGAGTCGATCAGCCAATCACGGCCGGCCTGCACTTTCCCCTTCGAACTGAAATTTTAGTTAAAATTCTCACTTTTACAGTTCGCTTGCGTCACCTTGCAACTCAAAAGTCTACTTTTCAGGCTGCAGATAACATCTAATAATTCAATAGATTAGTTGCAGAAGCCTGGCCTTGGCCTGTCTATCTTCGGGTAAACATGCTTGCAGGTGCCAGTACTTGTGCTTCAACGATCCGCACATCGCCCTCGGTCCGTTCAAATACCTACCGAGAGCACCGTATCCATGAGCTAGGGGCAAGCCACGTCGACCACACTGTGAGTCATGGAAGGGCATGAATGTGTAGTCTCATGTTGCGGTGACCTTGAGTAGAGAGTCGGAGATCGAGGACAGTATACAGCGGCATGTAGCTATAGCAAAGACATCGTGATGGTTGAGGAGAAGAGGTTGAGAAGAGATGTGGCGACGCCACAGCAGCCGACAAGTCACCGCGCCCACCGTGATTACGTCATGAGACCAGCTCAACATGCTCAGCGCCAACTCAGCGCGGCTTTTTCAACACTTGCCACCAACAATATGCGCTGCTCACACTCGCGCCGCCGTCACATACTGGGCTATAGAGACCCGGTTACCAGTCTGTGCGCTGCTGGGATATGACCTCCGAATCTAAGTACCCAAACTCTGCGCTATATCTCATGTCTTAACCTTGAAGCTCCTTCGATGGCCCAGGAACTCCCAGGAGTCTTGGGCCAAGTTGACCGTTCAAGGATTGCAGCTCGTCCACTGGTGGCACTCGGTGCTGTTCTTTATGTTCCATGCGAACCAGACCATTGCTTCTCCAGGAGTACTCAACACCAAAACTTCTGGGACCGCTGACTACCATGTATTTTCCCAGTCGCCGCAGCGGTCCGCCAACATGCGCTTCGCAGAGTATGCATGATACCGGAGGCTTTCAGAATACTCCCGTTCATGAGACGTGCTATGGGAACCTTACGCGGTATAACTACAGCATAACTCAAGCATAAGTTGCTGCACCCGCTTGTAGTGGACAGTTTGCGTCGCCGCCATGATCGCATCGCTAGCGTTGACCTCTCTCCTCGCCCTTCCCTCACTGTTCAAGAGTGTCTCCGCCACCCCTGCGGAACCTTCCATTGCTGGACGAGCTACCTGCACCGTTACTGGTGCTCAAAACGCTGGTACCGATGACGTCCCTGCTATCGAGGCAGCCATCGCCTCTTGCTCTACAGGTACCGTCGTACTCTCGGCTGGCGTCACCTACGCACTTCGGAGTACACTCGACCTCTCTGAATGCTCGGGATGCACCATTGCGATAGAAGGAACACTCAAGCTGTCGGACGATCTGGACTATTGGGAGGGGAACCAGGCTGCCATCTTGGTCAATGGAGTTACAGGCGCGACCATCACTTCGCAGACTAGCACCGGCCTTGTTGATGGGAACGGTGTACCGTTTTGGACCGGTACGCCTTTGAATCACATACCAGAGTCACTCCTCCCCTCTGCTCTTTCCTCTCCGTCTATTATCCAGATTTTGACATCTTGGTGTATATACCTCGCACAGAATTCGCCTCGAACTCTGACTACGCTCGCCCGACCTTGATGTACATCGAGAAGTCCTCGGGTATCACCGTAAGCAACCTCAGATTCAAGAACGCACCCAATGTCTTCCACTCCGTCACCGGCTCTTCCACCAATGTGATCTACACCGGCCTTCAACTTTCCGCTGTTGAGGACGATGGTGCTGTCCCAAAGAATACCGACGGATTCGACGTGGGCTTGTCCACGTTCGTGACGATTCACAACACCACAGTCGTAAACGACGACGACTGTGTAGCATTCAAGTCGGGGTCAAGCTTTACCACCGTCACTGACATCACTTGCACTGGTTCTCATGGTACATTATCGCTCTCTCACAGACTACCCCACGTTAATACGCTATCTTGTGTGCTTAAGGTATATCCGTGGGCTCGCTAGGCGGTGGGGAAGGCTCGACTGACACGGTGAGTAGTTCTTGACAGTGATAATATATTCGCATCATATGACCTTCGTCTGTTTCATACGATAGGTGGAGAACATCTACGTGAACGGCGCCACAATGATCGACTCCACCAAAGCCGTCGGCATCAAGCTTTACGAAGGTGGTTCATCGCATGGAACCGCGACCGTCAAAAACGTCACTTTCGAGAACGTCGTCGTTCAAGGGAGCGACTACGCCGCGCAAATACAAAGCTGCTATGATTCCGCAAGTGCGGCCAACTGTACTGCCAATCCCAGCACTAGCTCCATTACGGATGTAAACTTTATCAATTTTTCGGGGACTACGTGCGTCTTGTTCGCTTTCTTCTTGCGAGATGCTCTAGGGAGGAATGTTCACTGACCTCTTCGCTGTGGTTTGTGGTCGTTGCGTTATATACAGTTCCAGCACGTATAGCCCGACGGTGGCCAACCTCAACTGCCCTGGAGCCGGAACGTGCGACATCTCTTTCACAGGCTTCACGGTGAAGAACCCCTCCGGAACATCTACTGTTCTGTGCTCGAACATAGACGACTCGAGCAGCCTGGGCTTGACATGCAGGTCAGTAAGGCCAGTCCTAGAGTCAAACACCAGGACTAAACCCAATTCGTCATTATTTTTCGCATATCGCAGCGGTGCTGCTTCTGGTTGAGACTGAACTTCTTGTGCCGGGCGTGGGTCGGTGTCAGCCCCTTTGGCAAGAGCAATATCGGAATGGGGCCGCTTGGACATGATTCTTGGGTGGAGTGCGGAAGGCAGTGGAAATAAAAGAGGGAGACGGTCATGGATGGCGATTGAGAGGGCTGTTATATAGCTGTTCGTAACCGGCGTCGCTTCGCTGGATCAAGTCAATGCTGATACCATATGAGGAAGTGCTGAAGCGCCGCGGGACCAAGTGCCGGTCCGGAGCAAGTCCGGAGACTGACACCGTGACAGCCGTGAATGCGCCAGTTGGACATGCAATCATATTTCTCGCACGAACCACAACTATCTACAGCTGTCTCGAGCTCTCTGTCTCCACCGCCTCTTCTCAGTCCGGTCCTTCGTCCACCTCTCCCTTTGTCCATTGTCTCCCACGAATGGTAAGACCTCACAAGGCCTCTGCTAGTCACCCTGCCTTGTCCGTATCCTTCGTGAAATCGATTCTGAGCTGCAAAAACCGCCCATGCTTGGGTCAAGTGATTCAACCCTCTCCGATCCTGCCTCTTCACCCTCGCAATCTTCGTCTGAATTGTCCAACACGGCTCATTCGAGCGATGACGGTCTTCTACAAACTCTTTCTCCTGCATCATTCTCGCCTATCACCGATCCCGCCTCATCGCCCTCACCACCCCCTTCAAGACCTTGTCCTGTCTTACAGCGTCGTCACCGGGACATCTTCAACGTCATCTGGGGCGGTAGTCCTAGGGGGTTTGGGAGTATCAGCTTAGAAGAGCTACTCGCTGCGTTAGGGCTCTGGACAAGAGAGGACGAGAACCTCTACGACTTTTTGCGCAAGCATCGCGAAGTTTTCGACATCTTCAAGCGGGTTCTAGTCAGCAGGGATCCATCCGAACTGTGCACACATCGTGAGCACCTGTCACACCTGCTTACTAGGAGCATGATTTATTGCAGCTCTGTTGCACAATCCACTCAATCCTATCATCGAAGAGACTCTGACGAAGTACGACTCGGCGTTTCACCCCATACGACAGGGTATTCTTCCCTCAACTTCTTTCGATACACGCCTTGGAGCGGACGCTTGGGGTCATCTTCGAGATCTTGATGGACCCGATTGTGTGCAGGATATTCAGCACATGGATAGTATCTTTTCGTCGAAAAAGTGTTCGCTTTCCTATCTATTATGACCTCCTGTTGTTGACGATTTATCAGGGATTACATCACAGCATCAATGCCTACGAAAAGCCGAAAGTTGGCTCAAGGTCTTCTACACCAATGGGGCTTCCACTTCTCCTACTCCGCTATTCGTAACTCAGATCCCTGCGAGTCGCCTCTGATCTCTCAAGACCTCGAGCTCGCCTTGACGCTCTTCAGGGCGTCTATCGCGTCGGTGGAACCCAAGGATCGATCCGCTCTCGCTGACCGTTACTTTCAATCCCTCCTCCTCGGCCGAACCGTCGTCCTTTATGAATTCCTCGATAGTCTCCCCTGTAACCTCTCCCCAGACGAAGCCCGGAAGGAATGGCTCTATTTCCAACTCTGTCCACCTCGAACGTCCTCCGACACTGACATATTCGGATCGGTCTTCCACGCCCTCGCCTCTGGATCGAGAGAGGACTTGCGATCGTGTGCGAAGGGTTGGATGTTCAGTACAACATGGATGCATTTCCGGCGGTTCCCCCAATCATTCGTCCTCCTCAACTACTCGGGAACGCTAGTCCCTTGTATGAACGAAGGCGTGCAGCCCCTGTTCCATATCGTCGTCGACGAGGCTGTAACGCCGACCACTAATAGTGATCGCCTCCATAGTCGTCGTGCAATGCGGTATCGAAGGGCTGTCTGTGAATTGTTCTGGTGCGAGAGTTCTTCATGAGATACACGTTTCCACGCTCTGTATGTTCTCGTTCTCTTATTCTGACCCTTGCCCTATCTCAAATTCTCCCTTCGACATGCCCGACCATTCTATGTTTCGCCTCTTTTATTTCGCCTCCTTTGTTGCTTTGTTCTCGCAGCTTTTGTCGTGCTATTCACACCGTTATTGATGTCGGGTACCCATCTTTTATCAGTTTCTTGATAGTCTTACCAAGACCTCTCCACAGAGCAAACCCGAAAAGGATGGCTCCCTTCCAAGTCTGCTCCCCCGCACCTCCGATACCGACATTTTCGGATCTGTCTTTCAAGCATTCTTCTCTGGACCTATGAGCTCGGGCCCTTGCATTGGGACGTGAACATAATATATAATGTACACTGAGAAAATTTCCATCCAGAAAGCATCGTCGTGACCCGTGAGTCGAACGGTCTACCTTGAACTAGCCAGGTCACAGCCGAGCCATGACTGTGTTACTCCGTCAGTCACTTGTCCCCCTCGCCTTCCTTCCTAAGTAAAGGATCAAACTGTGCTGGCTACTCCAGCCGCGGCCTCTCTCCTCGCCTCCATCTCAACTGCCCAGATCTCCTGTACCCCTTCTCGAAAGTACACGACGTTATACTCGACTAGTCCCCTCCTACCCTCCCAGACACTCGTAGGCAAGAGTGCGACGAGTGCAAGTTGCGGGGTGACGACGTGGTAGGTCATCGTTGTGCCTTGCGTCGGATCTGCAAGTTTCATGGCGGCGGAGGGGTAAAAGGAGGGTTTGCCTGAGGGTGGGTAGCTTCCGGAAGAGATGGTGCGGACACGAGCTGGGCTGTCGGAGACAGATCTTGGGGTGCGGAATGATACAGGTTAACAGTGAACGAATCTAAATGAGGAAAGAAATTGGTTCACTTGTAGAGGGAGCCGAAGGAATTCATCGTCTTTAGGTAGTCGCAGCATAGTTTATGCGCTGAATCCGGAGGAGACGTGTCCGTGGCCACATACAGCCTTGACTTGATGTCGAACAAGTAGGCTTTCGATGCCTGGGAGTTCTTCTCGGTTTAGAATGAGCATGGGTCAGCCGTATTGATCGAAAAAATAAGACGGAAAGGGGCGTACGGCACAAAATATGTCGAGCAATTGCTCGAGATCCGGCAACGAGTCGACGACCTTGGTGATTAACTCAGAGAAGGATTCGTAAAGCGAATAATCGTAGATAGAAGTCAAGTGAAAGTCGAGCGGCATTGTTTCGAACCCAGGCATATCCTCGAGTTCGCCGATGATGCGACCTTGAATGTGTCTGAAACTGTCTATATTCGACTGTTAGTGTTGGAGTGGTCGTAAAGCGGCCTAGTGTCAACACAGGAGATGTGCATACCATTCTTGTACTCTTGGATGGCTTCTGCTTTGTGCACAAATACCTCGAGAGCAGTCGCAGGGGATTCTTGAAATGCTGCAGTAAAGAACTGCAAGAGTCGTGCAATCGGTTGTTGTACCGAATCCTGAAAGAACAGACCACAGTCAACTCATGAACAGTCCGAAGGATGCAAGGCAAAGCAGGCGGAACCGGACCTGCCTGAATATCTATAACAAAGATAATCAGAGCAAATGTGGATAGAGGAGCTCCAAGAGTATCGACAGTGATATTCCCAGGACAGTCCCATATCTCAAGCGGAATGATGGTACTGTGTTGTTCCGAGTCAAAGCGCCACAACAAGTTTGCGAGCATTCAGTCAGAGTACGAGTCACGATTTGAGCACTAATAGCTTACTCGTGCTTGTGCTTCATGATACGGATGGTAGGCTCGAAGTAGAATGTTTGTTTGGGATCGGCATCGTTGAACAGCATTTGTTGGATTGATGTTTTGCCACTTCTATGGACGGGAAATGGTAGCATTCAGCAGGCATGACCCAGCGGTTTCAGAGGAAAGAAAGTACCTCCTTTGTCCGAGAAGTAATATTTTTGTTCTTGCGACCTCATCTTCCAACGCGGCAGACGACGAAGGAATCGCGGCCATGATGGTCGCCGAACAAACTTTGAATAGCCAACACCGGTGAGGACGCGCCACAGTGATGGACTGACACGTGTCGGCCACGCACTCAAATCCGGCCGGTTCCGGACGAATCATACCGCGTCATTCGTGCTCACCACCTGCTCACCGCTTTGCTCAGCCAGCCTTTACTCTGTCATGAACCACATCGACTCAACCTCGTGGATACAAATAGTGCTCGCGCCGTGATATGGCTCTGTACCTTTTCCTGCTTCTTCACTTCTTGTATTCGTTCAGACAAGTAAGTACTATCATCTAACTGAAGCACTCGGACCAGAATTGATCGTGGTTGTTGAAGCTGAAGGTGTGGATGGGTGAAAAGGTGCGCAGTTGACGCGTTTTTCTTCATCAGACTGCCTATATTTTACCTTGATACTCATCATGTCACGTTTAGACACGCTCGAACGCGTTCGAAACGCGTCTGCGGGCTCCTCGTTCAAGGCATGTTGGGTTTCCTTCCCATGGCGAAGCCTCTTTTGATCGAAGGAGTCTGCATTCCATACCCGCAAGTCCCTTTATATATACTTTTGCGACCTTCTTCTAACTCAGAACATCGATTTCAGGCGGTTTATCTGCGGACTGCGCCGCCTTCAGACTAGCTACTCGAGAGGCTTACGAACCCACTCCTGGACTCGGGACTTCTCTTGTGCTCTCGCTCATTCTAGTGCTGTTCTTGGCGTCTGACTCCAACTCGATACCGAATCGCAGTTCTGGTATTGGCCCTGGTCCCAACTGGCACATCGGAAGACTGCCTTACGGACGTAAAGTTACTGTGATCCGTCACAATACTGCGATCACGATACGCTGCTGTCTCCGACGGAACTTCGGACTCGAGCTCACGATGATATCAAACACGAGGTTACGAATCACTTGGTCCCCGCCCTTTCCGCGCATTCATATCGTCTCACCTTGAGAATCAAACATGTATTGCGGGACAAAGTGGGTTGGCGCGCGCTTATTGTGCTGCGCCGCTATCGGTCATGGGCCACAATCCTGATATTTTGCTCAATGTGTCCATGTTTGATGTCATAGACGTCGCAGCAGAGGGGTGCCACCGAAATATCACCGGGACGGCGAAGTTCAGTTTGGTCATTCTTTGAATTGCTCGACGTACACGCTGATTCAGAAACATACACGAAACACAATGTTATGCTGCGGTCGAGGATGCTTAGGTCCCCCTTCGACGGACGGGTCACATAGGGCCTTCGACTTCCAACGTTCAACATTCAATCATTTTCGACATCGAGTGTCATACGATACTTCGACCTGCTGCGCCGCCGCTCTGACTTCTCCATCGTGGCCGTTTCAGCCCACATCCACATCAAGACCTTTTACGGTGTGGTCTCACAGTTGTCCTCAAAGGCTCAGGGCCCTTGCCCATCGTGCATTATCCAGCACACAAGGTCAAGTTCAACCTCCATACTACTGCGCCGCCGGTCTACAATTTCACCGCGGTCTTCTCACCCCGCCTTACTCTAAATTTCGAAGGTGTTACGAGCTGCGACCGAGATCGATGACGATCTCGCAATATTGCCTCTCCAGATACACAATACCAATTCCCCACCCGATCTTGCGTTGTTGATGGCTTCGACTTCCTGTCAGCTTGTCTTGGGCCTTGGCTCTCCTCGTCCACGCGTTGCTCATGCTTCAGAAATCACGGGTCTGGGTTTGACTGTGATCGCTGACTGCTGCGCTTCCAACAACGACGCCACCTCCGCCATCCGCCTCAGTTCCACCTCCGTCGGTGCCAATAGTCTGCGCTCGGGCATTCGCACGTATCGTATTCTAGCTCGATGACTTGCACATTCGTGGTTTAAGCTTGAAGGCTAGCTGCGCTCGACGTTCGTGCATGCCTCGAGGCGGCTGCCGGTGCTGACACTTTTGACGAGCCCAGCGCTCACGCGTCTATAGTTTCACTGCGGTTCATCGTTCGGTGGCGCCCCAATAATATCGACATTCTGAACGCACGCGCTATCCTCCATGGTCCGTCCGTCGAACGTTTCGATTAGCTCATCGCGCCTCCTCCAGGGGCATGTTGCGTACGCGTACAATCTTACGCGTCTGCGTCTTGCGCGACTTACGCGTCAGGATCAGTTGTCACGGTGGGCTGAGCAAGTCGGGGATCACTAGTGACTTTCCTGGTGCGTGACTTGAACGCTGGGACTTACAAAGGCGCACTTCTGTGTCTATCTTTGTGTGCATCGCGAGATCACTGATGCTGGTTGTTGAATTCTCGGATATGTTTGGTAGGCACAGGCGCGCATCACAAAACATAAGCTGCTCGAATTTGGAACAACATGAGCCAAGGCACTGCGCTCCTAAGGCGCTTGAGCTACTTGGCCTGCTCCATCGGGAAACAAACGACGGATGGATCCACAGGTCGAACAGGCTTCAATGGACGGACGTCGTCCTGGTTCGGCATACGTATCCTATCCTGCGACGGGGGGTGATCGGGGACTCGCCGACACGTCGCAGTAGGCTCTCGAGAATAGAGCTGAAGCCATATCTGCAATCAGCACTGTGGCGCCCGAATAGCCTGTAGAGTCTCGCTGCGCTTGCGTGTTCCTTCGCTCTGGATGGATGTGCTCGTTCTCGGGCTGACGTGTTGACTTCGGCTGGACGACTGCACTGGACTGGATATGTTGCCGTGGATTCAAAGGTTCCGAGTCTCTCCGCTGATGTAGATGGTCCATAACGCTAACTGGTCGACGGAACACTGGGCAATATACCTCATTTGGGCGACGTCGGTGTATGGGCTTCAGCTATAGACTATGAACAGTTCTTGATTCTCGAGCGCGACCAATCATCAACCATTGTCCCCATCGCACGGTGACCGTACTGACGCTAACACGTATCAAAGCGACTGGAAGGCTCCCCGTTTATTTCCTACTGGCCTTTTCGTGGGACTTGTGATACGTGTCGCGACGCGTAGGAGGACTAGGGACCCGTATCGACCCGTCGGTAGACTTCGCTCAGGTGTGGTGCTTGATGCTGGATATTGAGCTACTTTTGCTGCGCGACGAAGCCAATCATGCCACTTCCGATGGACTCACAGGACTCGGATCGCAATATTCGTTCGGACCGAGGACTGTCGCGTCCCCGCCTGTCGTCCCAGCTTGTGGTCGTTATACTTGGGTATCCGCTCGCCTCCGATCCGACATTTGTGCCAGCGCTCGCCGCCGCGAAGCTTGAAGGCTCTCCTTACACAGCTCTCCGTGTCCAAATAAGGTGCTGGGATTGTCTCCTTGCCGCGGCTGGGCGTCGACAGCGCCCCCTGGATGAAGTGCACACTGGACGGGCGCTTACTGCAACTTCGACCTATCGGCACAGCCGCGATATTTGTCCGTTCTTGTGTCCTTGTTTTGATGGGACACTCCCGGTTCCCATTTGAAGCATGTGCGTCTCTGGCAGGACCTCTGGTACCGACGACCGCGTCCCTTGGTTGGCTGGCTTTATTGCGGTTAGGCTGCTTGATGACCGAGCTTGCTCGCTGTCTGTCCAGGGATTTCATCTCTGTTGTCGCCCTGTTCCTGTGCACTTGACGATCCAGAGCTCTAGGGCGCGACGCCCGATTTATAGGAATGAAGGTGCACATATCGCGGGCTGTGCGTATCCTGTCCAGCCTGTACTTCTGTACCGCGAATGTTATATTTTTGTGATATTCTCGAGCCTCGTTTTGTGGAGTAGAGGACACGGATAAGGATGGGCTGTGTCGCCCGTCGTGAGAGGACGAGGTCAGCTGCTTGTGGGTGTCGATTTGCGCTCGTTCTGGGCCACCGGCGCGCGTCTGTCGGTCGCGATTGGCAGACCGGACCCGAGAACGACGCGAGTCAGCTCTTCGGGGTCCCTCGCCACACGCCCCTTCGCTCAGCTCGCAGCTCGCAGCTGGCCCGAGCGCCCTTCTGCTGCGACTGACGAGGCCAAGTGGAATAGGACGTGTTCGAGCGCATTTTACAGTGTAGACTGTGTATTGTACGAGGACGGGAAGGGTATATAATACAATGGAGGCGCGGAAGATCCGTCGCGATAACGAACGATGGCCGGCAGCGATTTGTCCTCAACACGGCGGGCGGTGCCAGCGGGAGGCGCCTGCCGTGGGAGCGCGCCTCTGAGTTCCAAATGCTGTGAAAATTTCTTTTATAAGCCAGCGCTGAGTCACTGCTCCCCCGTTCCCTCACCCCCTCGTCCTTCATCCCGACGACCACCCCAATCAGCTAGCTCTGACTCCTTGCACTGTTCAAGGAGCAGCACTCTACCCCTGAGTAACTTGTGAGTCCTTTGTCTCCGTTAAACGTCTTTTTTCCGTCTTTATTTCCCTGCTTTTGGTTCGGTACGGTCGCATACCAAGACCTCAGACCACCAAGTCTCGTTTGGGCAACCAGCGACCTATATAGTCCCATCGTCGAGTGCGATCATTGTTTCTTCTCCTATTCCCAGTTCTCTTTTCTGTTCGTTCCACAAGTCGCGCTCCGATTCGCGTACGATGGAATCTATCAAGCGGGATAGTATCTCCCCGGCTCCTCTGTCGTGCACTGCCCGGCCGGAGACCCCGCGCGCTCATAACGCGGTCGGCCCGCGTCATGCTACTGCGACCCAGAACGTCCAAAGCAGGGATAACAATGTGTCGGCGCCTTCTCCAGCGACTTCTACCTCGCCGCTCCACGACTCATATCGCCTCCGTGCTCTACACGAGTCGCTCGCGCATGATGAGACAGCGAGACTGATATCGCCTTCCCCGGCTTCCCTTGACAGACAGTCCGCCGCATTGCCTTCCGACCAGCAACCGCCACGCGCGTCCCACCCCCAGTTCCCAGCCATACCCGCCTTTCTGCCTGATAATAACACATACAACACCGATCAACATGTTCGGTCTCTGCCTTTGAACGGATCGTCATCCGCCCCCCAACATCGTTTAACCCCGTCTACCGGTTTTTCGTCACCGTATCAACTTGAAGGTTCCACAACCTCAAGCTTCGCCCCATCTCACCATGGCCCGATAAGCTCCCCATTCCCTCGTCCTTCTAGGACCAGCAATACCGTCTTCCGCACTACCACGGACCTCGCCGCTCATCATGGAATCCCGCAATCTTTGCCGCCTCCACCACGCACAACACCTCGTCGATCAGTACACCAATTATCTATTCCCGACACCTCCGCGCTCTCTGAGCCCATCGATTTCAGCAACCTTTGTTCCAACTATCTATCTATGCTTTCCGCATCCAACAAAAACGCCGCCGAGCAACCGTCCGCCATGATGTCGACCGCCGCAGCAGCAGATAACGTAGCCGCCATCACGGGCGCGCTCACCGTGGAAGAGCAGGCTCAGTTCGTGCTGGAGGCCCTCCAAGGTGATTTTGACGCCCGCTTTGATCCCATTCGAGTCATGGCTCATCATGTCCTGTCCTTCGGCACCGCCCGCACCGCCTTCTCTCACACAGCTTCTCCGGACAACTTCAGCCCATACGACCCGAACGAGTACCTCACCTCTCCGCATGAGTCACCCCAGGACGACGATTTCCTTACTACCCCGGCCCTCGGGATGGATCTGGACGTCAGCCCCTCCATCTACTCTTCCCCACTCTTCGACATGCCAGGAGACTTCGACTCGTTATTCCCTGAGGCCGGCCAGGACTTCTTCGGCTTTGACAACGCCAAGGCCTCTTACAACGCGCCACACGTCTCAGAAGTCAACCACCCCGATTTCGACGGCCTGCTCGCGATGCCATCTCCCGACACGCCTGCTCTCGATCCCTCTCACCTCTCCATGTCTCCTTCGTCCAACCCTCACTCTTCGTCAACAAACAAGACATCGCGTCCTACCACCGGTCGCGGCCCTCGTCGCTCAGGACCCACTGGTACGAGGAAGAACATTACTCCAGAGGCACTCGTGCCCATCGACGCCCCTATTCAGACTCGCAAGTACGTCGCGCCGTCGTCAACATCTCGTAAGGAGGTCCCCGCCACCTTCGCTCGAAAGCGTGCGCGGTCTCAGGCCTTCGGTGACGACGATGAGTTGGCTGATCAAGATGTCGGGGCGTCGTCATCGTTGACGCCAAACGAGGAGGACGCGATCAAGGCCAAGCGACTGCAGAACACGCTTGCAGCGCGGCGCTCGAGGAAGCGGAAGTTGGAGTATCAGAAGGAGCTCGAGGACGCGCTTGAGACGGTGACGAGGGAGAGGGACGAAGCCAGGGGGCGGAACATGGTGCTGGAGGCGTTGTTGAGGGACAAGGGTTTCGACGTTCCACCCTGAACTCGAACATAGATGATGCGCATTGATACGAACGGTGTGCGCTCTCGCTTCTTGTTTCCTGCCTCCCCCTGTTGTCTCCGTCTCTCGCCTTCCGTTTCATCTGGTCTCTTCGTTATTCCCATCGACGCTTTGCTTGTTGTGATGCTTCCCCCATGTTACCCTCATTCCTCATTGACACGTCATCGGACGTTACCCCTTCAGTACTCCTGTAAAAACATACATTCCCACATTCCCCATCCCCCAACATCCACTTGCTGCTATGAGTACTGTCGTATCCCCAGTAGTTGCCCCAAAGTCCCCAATTCCAATTCCATTCCCCTTGTTTATTCCCTTCGTCATGCATCTATGCCCTTTTATGCAAATCCCATTCCTCAATCTCTGTCCTGTCAACGCTCCGAAGAAGTTTTTACCCCTCTTGCCTTTACCTTTATCTTAGTTGTCTCCACATTTATCTCTCTCCTCGTCTCCACCATACACATCTCAACGATGGTTTTTTGGTTCCAGTCTCATTGTCGCTCGTATCCCGTAGTAGTCAGTCGTCGTCGTCGTCGTGTCAGCTTCGTTCGTCCTCACTCTCAGTTTCGCAGTACCTATTGAGTACTTACAAGTGCATCGTGCAATCCGAGTTTCGTTCGGCGGGTCCCGGTGGGGCTTTCGCCTTGATATAAAACATAAATGTGTGAACTCGTATATAAAACGTAAATGTGTGATTTCGTGTAAACTCTCCTTTTTCGAAGTTGTCGGCCTTTGTTCGTGAGTTCGAGTGGCGTTAGTGAACAATAGGAATCTCGATAAGGAAACGATGGTGCGGGCCTCGTGTTTGCAAGAAATGGTGTGGCGTCGGCAAGTGCCGGCGCGAGTCAATGACGCGTGGCGATTGGCCGAACAATTCGAGTCATCGCCACTCATGTCGAACTCGCTTTCCACTGCCTTTTTCAAGTTTTTGCACAATCATCGCCCATATGGGTGGCGGTTCGTGTGATTTTTCTCTACAACACTAGGTCATAGGAAACTACGCTCGAAACTCTGAGCGGTATGGGATGGGCAGACAGTGGGCAGACTCACCAGTGGCACTCAGGCTACCCAGGTTCTGGGATCATTTCTTGTTCGACGCTGAAGGTGTGAAGACGTACCGGCCCTTGCAGTAGAGGTGAGACTCTTGCCGATGGTTACCCGTTTTCGAGCGTGCCAGTGTAAGGTCTTTCACATGGCTAGGAATATATATGTCGTGAAGACGTGAGATCGTGAGTAAATGCAGTCTAACTTTACGACTCGGATGGGCTGGAACGTCTCTGATATTCCAACTTTAGTATCATAGCTTGTTCTCGAGACTCGACCGCGTAGCTCCCGATACAGTACTACTGAACGAAATAGTAAGAGCTCAATGCAGGTATCATATTAACCTCCTCCCAATTTCTTGAACGTCTGGCTTTGGGTGATCACTGGCATATACTGTATCGTCTTTGAATCATGCATACCGCAAGACCGATTTCGTCTGGTCCCACGTTCTATTTCTGTATTTTCCAGAGTACTGGATCTCCGTTCGCCGTCATCGACTGCATTGCAAACTTGCATATAGTCAGTTTTGACCATTGGGAGACATATAGTGCGGGCACTGGGCAGACCTGTGTGAGTGTTTCACGTTCGAAGTCTACATACCATGAAAAATCATTTTCCATCTGTCCGTCCACACAGTAGAGACAACTCTCGTCGATGGGCGCATGCCCTTGCCTTGGGCGTGCTTTCTCTCCTTATACCTCTACAATGCTTTCCAGTAACCTCACCGCGTCTTTCGGAGTATTCAAAGGTACGGACCTCTTCCTTTCCATGTGCTCAAGCGCATCATTCCATTGGCTGATTCTCATGAAACCGGACAGGCGACAGGTCCGCCCACTGCATCGGTATGTGACCGTTGTCCGCGGCTTTTGTTGCCCAAGATTTTCAGGTTGGACTCGACTCCTACCGCCGTCTTTCCCTTCAACAATTCATACCGGAGCTCATGATTGCAACATTTACTATTTCATTGTCCAACATTCCAGAGGTCCAATGGTATAAAACCAGGCTGTCTAACGGTCAGGATACAACAGGAACACTTCAGTCTCCTCTAAGAAGGACAGACTCAGCTCTCCAATGGATTTCTCGCAGCTTCTCTCCCTCGTGGCCCTCGCCCTCGTTGCCAGCCAGGTAGCCGAGGCTGCTCCTCCGCCGAAGGTTACCTGTGCTGACGGTAACGTAACCGCCAACGCTGTCTGCTGTCGTCAGTCATCCCCGTCCTTTCATGGCTCAGTATACCTGTGCTGACGCTTTCGTCAAAGAGCTGTTCTCTGCGGTAGCCATCCTCCAGGAGAACTTGTTCGATGGCGCACAGTGTGGTGAAGAGGTGTTTTGAATTATAGCTTGAGGTCGACGTACGGTCACTGATCGGTTCAATTTATTAGGCACACTCTGCTCTTCGTCTTAGTTTCCACGACGCAATCGGGTTCTCAATCCACGGTATGCAAGGTCTCTCGTTTCGTAGTGCAAATCACTGACTAAGATATTGTTTCTAGGCGGAAAGTATGTGATTCATCGATTTTCTATCCCTCGCTAAATACTAACTTTTTTCTGAAGGGGTGGAGGAGCTGACGGTTCCATCTTGGTGTTCAATGCCACTGAACTGAAATTCCGTAGGTCATGAACCATCTCTTCGTTTTTGCTCAAATTTTCCTGACAGACATATCTCACAGACGCTAATATCGGGTAAGGCGCACCCTTTGGGGAAGAGACAAGCGAGTACTGAAATATCAGCCGCAGGATTGACGACATTACCTCCGAGCAGTTCCCGGTGTTCCAGACTACAAATTTATCCGCTGGTGACTTCGTCCACTTGGCTGCGGCTGTGGGCACGGCCAACTGCCCAGGTGCTCCCCAGCTCGACTTTTTCTTTGGACGCGCCCCGCCCGTTGCCCCTGCCCCCGACCTGACTGTTCCAGAGCCTACTGACTCCGTCGATGCTATCATTGAGAGATTTGCGGATGCCGGCTTCAGCGTTGACGAGATCGTCGCTCTACTGTCGTCTCACACCGTTGCTGCAGCAGTAAGTCCCTTCCTAATCACTCATCCCTTGAACCCAGAGTTGATGGCTGATATTTCTTTAGGACGAAATCGACACGGTACGAGTTCGAAAGATATGAATGCGGACTCGGGTCTATGAACTGATACGCTGTCATAAACCAGACCATTCCTGGAACTCCCTTCGACACGACCCCCTTTACCTTGTGAGCCACTTCATGAATCTCAGGTCATCTCGATACTTACGTAGACTATTTTAGCGACACTCAGTTCTTCGTCGAGACGTTGTTGAAAGGATCGTTATTCCCCGGGTATATCAGTCTCTGCATCTAGGTCAGGGACACTGTCTAATATCATACTTCGTCCAGTAACGGCTCTCAGGCCGGCGAGGTTTTGTCACCCATTCATGGAGAGATGCGTCTCCAGTCCGATTTCGAGCTCTCGCGCGGTGAGTCTGTGACAGCTGAATGCTCAGTTCCTCAGTCATCAGTGTCTGACCAGCGTAATCCTAGACCCTCGAACTGCTTGCTTGTGGCAAGCCATGATCAGTGTGTAGTTCCTCTTCTCTACTTTTCCGGCCTAGTCTGACGGAACATGCAGACGACCAGACCCGCATGCAGACTCAATTCAAGGCTGCGATGCATAAACTCGAGCTCCTCGGACAACCCGACACCCTCGTTGACTGTTCCGATGTTATTCCTGTCCCCGCCCCCTTCAAGGGACAGGCTGTTTTCCCCGCCACGTTCAGTCGACGTGACATCCAGCAAGCTGTATGTTCCCTCTACTAGTTCATGGCTAAGCAGAGCGCTGACTGTAGGCTTGTCCAGTGCCTTCTCGAGCCGTTCCCCACTCTCCAGACTCTTCCCGGTCCCGAGACCTCCGTCCCTCCTGTGTAAGTGCTCTCGTCACCATCTATTGTAATTCTTAGCATCTCATTCCCTTTCCGGTCGCAGCCCCGGCTCTTGATGATAAGATCGACGATTTTCCATGCTTCTCTCTTCTCTATGGGTCTTTGTGTGTATGTATGCATGGGTATAATTGGGTCGAAGTCGCAATCAAGCACGCTTGTGGCTCGTTTATTTACTTGAAGGAAATATTTGTATTTCATCCCCTACATTCTTCTCTCCATTGCCTAGAATATCCAGCTTGAAGTTGAAGAACGAAGGTGATTGCGTTGAGCCTTGCCAGTAAGTAGTAAGTAACCCACTGGCAGTAGCCATCTTGATCGGCCGGTAGTATTGGTCATCTCTCCCTGTGGTTGAGGAGTCGCATGACATATGACGGACGGATAAATCGGTATGTGGGATGTCAGGGAAGATAATATATTTGCGCAAAGCATTCAGGTCGGACAGCCGCGGAGAACTATTATTTTGGAAATTTATTGTTGTCGGAATCTAGCCGGAACGACCCGAAGCTCCGACTCATCCTTCGAATCCGACCGCGACGTTGATTTACGACAAGAACACTCGCAAGCAATTTCTCTTTCCTCTGGTGTACCTCCCCTCTCGAATTCAATCCGACTTCCACGTAACTCGAAGGGGGATCTGGCAGGATCTGGCAATCGTACGTACGTCTTGCTGGCAAGCGTGGACTCGCGGGACCAAACTGAGTCATGTTGCGAGGTGCATGCTGGTTGCAGATGAATCATAGAAAAGGCTCGTACGAGCAGGTCAGGCCCAACTCTCTGTGTCAAGGATCATTCGCAATCTCACAGCTTGGGAGTAGTCTTGGAGAGCCGCCGGGAATCGCTAGATTGCTTCACCCGTGCTTCGTGCTCTTGGCGGTACCGGCGTTCAAGCTGCTAACTCGTGGACGACAAAAGTCTTATAAAAACAGACATTCCTCTGTGCTTGCGAAATGTTGTATTTGGCTTTGCACTAAGCTTTTACGGAGGTATAATGATGTATATGCAGACTCACATTGTCTGCGGTAAGAAGAATGCCAATGTTGCGGTGGCTTTGTCGCATTGACAAATTCTATGCCTCACCCCGAGTGGCTTCCGTGAGCTCCGCGGTTCGATATGCCAGCAACTCCTTGGGACGAGCGCGGCGACCTGGATGTTCGTTTGGAGATACGTCTCCTCTCTTCCCCCATCCCCTTCCACTGGTATGCCACAAACGAGGGGATGGCAAGGTTGAGCCTTCCCCAGCCCTCATGCGGTTGTTCTCTATATGGCGTTCATCATCTACCACCATAACAAAATAAGCTATATCTGCTCATCAGCATGAGTACTCTATGCCTAGGCTCTGGAACAAACGCTCGTCTTTTACTTTTCCTGTGAAATGCATGATTGGTCTCCACTGCAATCCATTGACGGTAGGTGAGGTGCTGAGCTGAAGTCGCCGTATGTACATGACCAAATGTGTAAATGAACCTCTTTGTCGCGCAGTCAGACATATGTGACATGGTCAACTCCAGCCTCTCCCTACGCTTCACTTTTCAGACGATTGACAAAAGAATCTAATTATGCGGTAACCATCTCGTCCCACGGGCTATTCTTGCGTTCCAGAGCATGGGGCAATGACTTGTCATCGAGACAGCGCAAACCGACAGTCAGTTTTGGCCACATACAGAAGTGCTAAGCAGGTACGCGAAGCTCATACGTGTAATTGAACTTTCAAACCTATGAATGAAGGTTGAAGTAAATGACTGCATTTATTCCAGAAATCGGACTAGAGCTCTTCCCGTCAACTGTTGCGATGGGACACAAGTAGGGTAACTCGATACTCTGGTTTGCAATTCTCTATCCTAGCAGTTTTTTGCTCGCCAGATCTCAACTCAGTTGTCTACGACTCATCAATGACCACAAGCTTCCATGTGTCGACCCCGTCGAGGCTCTCATCGGTGGGTGAGTGCCATGATGCAGGATCCGCTTTATCCGCTTTCTGTATCTGTCATTGGCACCAAGGGATTTGTATTGCCCACCGCCATTCATCTCACATCTCTCTAACCACCCAAACATGCAATCTTCGTTCCTTCAAGTTAGTCAAATGGATCTTTTCATTGGCCAAGTCTGACGAATCTGCCGCCGCTGCAATGGCATGCAATACCTTCCCGACGGTTTCTGCTCCCCAAGCTCCAGCCGGACTTAGGTCTGAAGGTCAACTCTTTTCCTCGATGCTTCACACTAGCCTCCATGATGCAAACGACAGTCCTGCTATTGGGCGGAGTACGACATGATGAATGATATAAAGGCGGGCCATGCCATGGTCAAGACTCAGCAGGAACACCCCAGTCTCCTCTCGGACAATCCTCCAGAACCAACCATCCAATGGCTTTTGCTCAGCTTTCCGCCATCGTCGCTCTCGCTCTTGGCGCAGTCCATGTCGCTCAGGCCGCTCCTCCACCGAAGGTTACCTGCGCCGACGGAAATGTCACCGCTAACGCTGTCTGTTGCCGTCAGTAACGTTTCCCTCATTACTGTTATGCCTAGTGTGTGTAAACTAATTTTCTTGCTATAGAGCTGTTCCCCGTCGTTGCCAATCTCCAAGAGAACCTGTTCGACGGTGCTCAGTGCGGTGAAGAGGTTCGAACAGGTTCTACTTGGACGAATACACTGATCCTGACTGGTTGGAATTATTAGGCTCACTCTGCTCTTCGTCTGAGCTTCCACGACGCGATTGGCTGGTCGAATTTCGGTGAGCACTCCTGCTTAGACATCGGATGATACTCTCACTGACCTCTCTCGACAGTTGATAAGTTCGTGACTTCGTCGTTCCACTTGGTTTCCATCTACTCATCATGTATATCACAGGGGTGATGGCGCCGACGGTTCCATCTTGGTGTTCAACGCCACTGAGTTGCAATTCCGTGAGTGGTTATCACTCGTCTCATTTGTAATATTTCTCTGACTTACAGTTCAACAGACGCCAACATTGGGTCAGTCTTATTCCTGAGAATTGACATGGATCGATGTTGACATTTTCCCACAGAATTGACGACATCACCTCCGTGCAATTCCCTGTCTTCCAGACCACGAACTTGTCCGCTGGTGACTTCGTCCACTTGGCTGCCGCTGTCGGGACGGCCAATTGCCCCGGCGCTCCTCAGCTCGACTTCTTCTTTGGTCGTCCCCCGCCTACGGAGCCCGCTGCTGATCTGACTGTACCCGAGCCCACGGACTCTGTTGACGCTATCATTGAGAGGTTCACCGATGCCGGCTTCGAGGTCCCTGAGATCGTGGCCCTGCTATCGTCCCACACCGTCGCTGCTGCGGTATGTTCGATTTCATCTAGTCGTTCCATTGATACATAAGCTGATAGATGGACTCTATAGGACGAGATCGACACGGTATGTCATTGAGAGATGTTAGTAAGGTCTGCCTAACTGAATGTCACCAACTAGACCATTCCCGGGACTCCTTTCGACACCACCCCTTTCACCTTGTAAGAATCGTCGTGTGCTCAAGGCATAATATCCATACTCACACGAATGATCTAAGTGACACTCAGTTCTTCGTTGAGACCTTGTTGAAGGGGTCGTTGTTCCCCGGGTACGTTATCCGCTCACTCTTCTGGGGCCGTTCTCTGATGCTTCTTTTTTCCCTAGCAATGGCTCTCAAGCTGGTGAAGTTTTATCGCCCATCCCCGGAGAGATGCGTCTTCAGTCCGACTTTGAGCTCTCCCGTGGTAAGTGTCCTCGGCCAGATGTTCCAGTGAAAGCGATCCTAATCTTTGTTTCGACAGACTCCCGTACTGCTTGCTTGTGGCAGGCTATGATCAGTACGTAGATTCTATCGTCCCCTCAGCCTCCATCTCTATCTCTAACAACCAAGGCAGACGACCAGACCCGCATGCAGACTCAGTTCAAGGCTGTGATGCACAAGCTTGAGCTCCTCGGACAACCAGACACTCTCGTTGACTGTTCCGATGTCATCCCTGTCCCCGCTCCCTTCAAGGGACAGGCTGTCTTCCCCGCCACGTTCAGTCGACGTGATATCCAGCAGGCTGTACGCCTTCCTATTGGTCTATGTCTGATCGCTGAGCTTACTGTAGGCTTAACTAGTGCGACACGGAGCCTTTCCCCACTCTCCAGACCCTCCCCGGTCCCGAGACCTCCGTCCCTCCGGTGTAAGTACCTTCACTGTTTGAACTTGCTTTTTGTGTTTCTAACCTGTTTATGCGTGGTAGTCCTGGGTCTTAAATGCAGACACAACACATATACACACCTCATTTCCCCTTTTTACTTGGTTTCCATGTGTATGTACATATATGAGTGGGACCGCGCTGGAGTCGCGACCAAGCGCGGATTCGGTACGTTTGTTCGGTGAATATTATAACTGGTTTTATGGTGCCCAGCACTGGACTTGCAGGCCTGGAGATCGGAAAGTTGATGTCATACTAGTAGTGAGTATCATCGAATAGGTCAGCATGATGGGAAGTAAGACGGAAGAGTATGTCTTCATATGTTGAGAACGCCACTCAGGACGATCTACGGTATTCTCACTTGTCATCATAGGCCTCGTCCCAGCGAGTAGATTCATGCTATCATGTATTTCGTGCCTAGAAACTTTTACGGCTGCATGGTCACGGCTGATCAGATAAAACAGAGGGCTCATACTTCTCCGTCTCATTCTTCATCACTCCTTGCTCAATGTCGCGGCTGAAAGTATCACCGTGATCCTGTAACTGCATGTTGCGCGAGCTCATCAGCGTATTTTTCTCTTAAAATACGAGAATAGTAGGCACTCACGTTCAAGTTCGAATGTGCATCGAACTGCGTATCATCTCCTTTGCTACAATTCCTGGCCCGATAATGCACCTGCATGGGATCCGGATGTGTGATTACTGTTCTCATACGAACGTGACTCGTCTGGATCTCGATGATTTGCAGCTGAGACACCTAGTGCGAAGACAATGGATTGCGGGAAAGTGGTCGGGCTCGGCATAGCCAACTTCTCTCTGAACTTCTCCCGCGCGTTCAGCCTGTATTGTTGTTGGTGTACTCGTGAGTCCTGGCGAGCGTAGGAATAGATCAGACCTGAATACAAACGTCGCGAGTGCTGAGGTATTGTAGACTAGAAGATATGAGCTCAGAATTGAGGGCTAAACGATAGGGTTGGATAGATGAGCTTACCTCGTCCAAGGATCGTGTAGAATGCGACGAAGATGAGTGTCCTGGGCCATGCGCTAATCTGCTAGCCGCTTCAAATTCGATGATTCAAAGAGTCAAACAAATTCTCGCATACCGAGATTAGTGACGCTATAGCGCAGATACTGCACGAGTTTTAGCAGTATGTAAGATAAATCTCTCAACAGATAACACACTCACCTGGTTATTAGACCGGTAGTCATAGAATAGAGGATAAGTCGATTGAGAACGATAGTAGATCTGCTATAATATTCAGTAATGACATCCACCGCTTCTAAAGAAGTCTCACCGTTTGAGACCCGTCTTATATCGATGTAGCTGAACCATTATGATCCCAGAGATGCCGATGTCACCCGCTGCACCGACAGCGTTGACCGAGCGCGACAGCGTCTGTAAGTATACAATGTCAGAGAGTTTATGGAGTTCGATGAAGCAGAATCTTGCGCTTCACCTCTAATGTGTCGATCGCGTCGAAGTTGGAGACGCTCCACCTGCATTCAACGTATAACACCAGGTTCCAATAACTTGGACACGGGACAAGAACTGACGATTTCGCGAAGTAAACTGTAGACAAATTTTCTTGAGAAAGTGACTATTGTACGAGACGGAAGCGCTTACCTATGCTTAGCACAAACTCGGCGGCTACCAAGCAAGTCTTCGATGGGCAGTGAGCATTCAATCTCATCAAGGCCGATCGACGACATGACTTACAATGGCAGTCACGACGAGCCAGTTGCGCTTACTCACTGGTTCCGATGTGTAAGTCGCGTCAAAGTCCATGGAAAGCACGATAAGTGATACCGACGATGATATATTCGGACGACAAAAAAGCTGTGTGTCGATGGAGTCGATAGAGGGTATTATTACTAGTGAAAGGGCAAACTTACCTCTGCGATATCAGCCCGATCAAAGCCTTGTCGAAAGATCATGAGCAAGACTACTGAGAAAAACGAAGTAGAAAGTCCTTTGCATACCTCCGGAAGAACTTGCAGTTTCAGGCTCCTTATGGTGAAGTCAGTCGCAACCATAAAACATAAGACTGGAGTATGGTTATTTCACCATAATACTTTGTCAAGGAAGGCCGTATTCGCATACTGGCTGATCGCGTAGGAGTAGGTGACGTGCGAAACAAGCACCTGATGGAAAGTGTTAAAACTCCTGAAGGAGAGAGTAGACCGTATCTGCAAAGAATTTTTTGACCTCGCTAAAGCCCAACGGGACTCGACGACTGGTCCGATCACCGTTTTAAAGTCGTTTTAAACGGTTGCAGATACGGTCTAGTGAGCGAGTCAGTTTCTCTCTCCACTCGTTTCATGTTCAAGTCAAATTTCTCTACAGGAGGGCGCCAACCTGTGAGATGGTTAATCATGATCTGCATCGCCCGTCACGAAAGAAGTTTGATAACCTACCACTATTTTCAAGAATAGGCGATCTGCCGAGTACATCTAGTCAGGCTTGTTATCAGTACCGCATCGCGTTGAATCTGGAGTGACACGAGAAAGCGTACCATGTAGTACTGGTACGTTTGCATGCAAACGACCCCCCAGAATCTGCTCGAGCATGTATACTAAGCAAACCATGGCAAAGGGTATTTTCTGAAAACATACACGCCACCGAATCTAGTAGACGATTTGTACGCAATGAGCGTCTCAGAGTCTGGTTAGTCATAGAATGTACGCACAGGGTACCGATGAACAAGGCGCCAACCTCCATAAAATAGAGCATATGAGCCGTATCTGTGCAATCCACGATGCTGAAGCTTACAGTGTTATCAACGGCCGGAAACGAGACAGGACCAGAATCCATTTCTCTAGAGAGCAGTATGGAAGAAAATAAAGAGATGGTGTGAACTTCGTGCTCTGTGCAAAGCATAGAACTTATAGATCGTGTAACGAAGGTCTAGTCATCAACAACTCGGGCAGCTCTGGGAACATTGGGAACATGAATAATACGTGGCCTCGAGAAGCCAATCCAAAGTCGAGCAGCAGGTGGAAGAAGCAAGGTCTGAGCAGGTCAGGCCTTCGGAGGAGCAGAGGAAGCGCCGCTGCATCGTATGTGCCCGGACCTTTGCTTAGCGCTGAGAGTGGGAAACCTGTGAAAGGTATTGTATTCCAGTAGTTCCAGTGCATAATAAAACACATGAAGTTTGTCACAGATAGCTGTGGCAGGCTTTACTTGGACTTTACGGGTGAGAAAGCCAGCGATAAGAATTGAACTATATCCGAGTCTACTGATGGTGTTGAACCCAGGGCTTTCCCTGGATGCATCCGGATGCATCCAGAGATCCGTGGGAAGAATATCCACGGATGGTCAATCCGCACGGATGACATCTGCGCGAATGACAGTTGGTATATGTATTTTTCTCTAGGTTACGCGGCCTCTCGAGTAGTTCAGCATATTTATATGTATTACGATAGCCATATTTTAGTATATAGAACATCCACCATTCGCAAAAGTAGCTGGGCGAAGATTATAATGAGTAATATGTGTGAAACAACGGACCTCGGGGACTGCCGAACGGGTCGCAGAGGTGGCGAGGTTGGTGCCACTGGGCCCTCCCTAGGATTTTTCGGCCGCCATTGACGGAAACTCCAATTTTATTGTACAGGATGGAGGAAAAGGTGTAAAAGAGTCGAATTGCATCGATGGTATATACTCAAACTTACCTTTAACATCAGTCAGAACTTAAGGCTGCAGGTATGTAAGTTGAGCCGGGTCTGAGTTGAGGCTCGAGTTTCACGAGTTCGTATGGACAACTGTAATCCGAAAAAATTCCAATGGAAAGCCACTACA